TTTTAAACATTTGAGCTAAAAAAGAGGCCATTTGAAGGATACCCAAAGGGAACAAATGTTATTTCTAAGGTATGTACAATGTATCCTTGATTGGTAATTTTTCACATTTGATCTGGCATTCTTGCACAAAGAAATACAGTCACAATGCCCCTACACTGTATTTAAAATTAGCGCAGGGGGGGAAATTTAGCGTAGGGGGTCAAAATTTTAGCGTAGGGGGCCCCTATGCTACTTTGCACTAGCTAGAACCCTGGGGACATTCAGCATTTTGTAATTGCTGAGCTCTACAGACTGAAGAACATCAAATTGACAAATTACAGCTGTGTTTTAAACACCATACTTAAGAGCAGCCAAATTAGGGAGTACACATTAGTCCCATGCCAGTTCATTCCATCTTCATGTCACTCCCTAGATGCGAAGTTACAGGAAGGAACTCCATCTATGATTTGAATGTAGTCATTGAGATTTTTCCTACGAACTCATAAGTTGCATTTTTAAGGAAATACATTTACATGGTCTTGGTCTTGGGGGTTAAGGTAGCCAACATCAACTTGCTGATGATTCTGCTACACTGTAGTATTTGATCTGTAGAATTTTGGACCATCGCACACCGGGGCATGCCCCTACTCTTTTTCGAAAGGTGTGGTGGGATCTTTAACGTGCTCGAGGTGTGGCTCTCCTCAAACACGGGACCTCCAGTTTACGTCCTATCCGAGGGACGTCCCTAACCGAAGCTAGGTACTCATTTACCTGAGGGAAGTGAGGAAATTCGTGTTAAGTGCCTTTCCCAAGGGCACAAGATCGGTGACATGGGTGGGGATTGAACCCTGGACCTCTAGGTCCCGAGCCGAAAGCGCTACCGCTGCGCCACACGACCCCACAACACGGAGGATGGTCCACGGTATATAACATAAGTGTGATTGAGAGACAATATTACTTGTATACATACATTTGTTGATTCAAATAGTCAGAATGGACAGTGGGTACTATCACAATATACATGTTGTAATTCAGATCATGTATGTTAGATCAACCTGGTTATAAATAGTAACATACATAAGTTGTTTTTCATTTACCTTATTCAGGACACAGGGTTCTAGCTACTAGCCTAGGATTTAATTTTAGCGTAGTGGTACTGGCCGCATGTCAAGGGAGCGAAGCGACTGAGAGGAGGGATGGGGCGGAGCTTTTAAAAAATTGAGATAAAAAAGGGGCCATTTGAGGGATACCCAAAGGGAAAAAATGTTATTTCTAAGGTATGTACAATGTATCCTTGATTGGTAGTTTTTCACATTGATCTGGCATTCGTAAACAAAGAAATATAGTCAATGCCCCTATGCAGTATTGAAAATTTACCGTAGGGGGTCAAAATTAAAATTATAGCATAGGGGGCCCCTACGCTACTTTGCGCTAGCTAGAACCCTGGGACATCACTGTCTCTAACCTGATATCACTTTTGTTGTTTTGCACCAACACCACTGGTCAAACTGATACAAAACTTATAACATTTCTTTCTGTGATTTTTGAACACCCAGTACTTTTGTTTGCACAAGAAACTCGAGTCATACCTTACCATAAATTACTTACCATGATCATATCATTTTTATCACATCTTGTTGCTGATCAACAAAATTGTGATATGCTTTATATAATTGTCATGTAACTCGTTGAAGAATCAATGACTATTTGTCTGATGATGATAATACTAAAATTGAATGGTGGTGGACAAAAGACATAGTTTATTTATACAGCAACATGACTTACCAAAGAGTATGTATACCTGAAAGAAATATAAGGGATACATGGGACAAAATGATAAGCGATAACTTGTGACTAGACTATGCTATGCAAGAAATGTTTGGCGAAATATTATACAATCGCAGTCATCGAACACGCGAAGTCATATAAAAATGACATCACCTTTGTCCTGTATGTAAGGGTGAAACTTGCAACATGTGTGCACACGGATAGACTTACCCGCATAGATCAACTTGAGTCCTGCAGCAGGGAACGACTCCTTTCCTTTCTCCCCCTCCACCTTCTCCTTCAGCTGCTTAACCTGAGGATGGAGGGAGAACAGAAGGGATTTAGCGATTTCACGGGAGGGTAAAAGAAACTGCGTAAGATTTGGGACGGTTCTGACTCAGCACACTTCATGTAGCGGGAAGTCGACCCCACGACCAACTCACCGTCGCATTCTCCTCGATCTCGATCTTGAACGTCTGCTGCTGTAGCGTTTTGAACGTGATCTGCATTTTCCTAGACTACTCTGGAACCGTACGGGTCAGAAAAAGTTCGAGAAGAGTTGAGGGAAAGTGTCAAATGAGCCCAATTTTGGAGAGAACCTTGCTTGTTTTCAAAACGTCGACCACACGGCCGCCATTACAGTGACGTCAGACGAGGCGACTGCGCCTGCGCTGCCTACCCAGGATGCACCGCGCGGGACGCATGCTGAGGGAAAGGAAGGCCAAACTTTGCAAACTTTCGGGAAACTTTGCCAAAAATCTTCTCAAATTTCGCATCATGTTTCCATAACCTAACGCGATATCATAAATAATGGGAACAGCAAGCCATCGGGATCCGATAGGGGTTCTGATCGACCCAGAAAGCGCAGAGTCCGAGCTGATATCGGCGATGAAACACGTCGCGGACCGGTCTCTGAGGGACCCGGTGGCGAGGGGCAGTTTCTGCGAGGACAGTCCGGAGGGTCCGAGCGTCGTGCTGACCAGACTGACCGACATCCTGAGAAGGACGTCAAGCTGTCAGCTCAAGATGCACGCCTGTGCCACTCTTGGAGCGCTGGCGCACGGGGACAGGCAGGTAAATCAGTTGTCAAAGCATATACTACACCGTTTTTATCACCCCCATGTCAACTCACCTGGTCTGAATAACAAACAGGCAGCTGCACAGTTGCTCCAGGTGGTCAACAAAACAATTTTAGTTCTGGAAATCTTTCAAGTTACTACATTATTTTATTACTAAGAAATTAGGTTTTTGTACTGTGTACGGTCTGTGCAAATTAAAAAGATTCACAAACAGATGGGCGGCATGGGCCTAAAAATTATGGTCGGCCACTGTCCATTCAGTAACACGTTAACACTTTGTTGTTAAAGAAAATTGAGGAAAGCTGTGTGACCAAAGATAAATATTTTGACAGGAAGGTTGCCACAGTTGTCTCCCTTCAGGCTGGGAGAGATTGACGGTGGAATGTGCACAGAATCAGCAAGAAATTTACAATAATAATGAATAAAACAAGAAATTCACAACAACTCAAAATACTTCACGTAGGTGTGAAATCTTTAATTTTTTGTCACTCTTTGCAAGGAGGTTTAAAATCAACTTCCTTGCTCTTTGTAAATGATCCTTTTATTTTGACCAGAAGAACCTCTCCTGTTGATAACATTGACCTTGTACTTGCCCAGGTGAGAGGACAGGTGTGTCAGCTGGGTGTGTTAGCTGCACTGACAGGTATCCTCAGAGGGAAGCAGGATGAGCATGGGCACCTCCTACCTGATCAGCTGGAGCTGCAGGAACAGACAGCAGCCCTACTGCGCAAACTTACCTACCAGTACAAGTGAGTCTCAAGGTCTTTTATATGATGTACAGAGTCTTTGTGTTACATGCACACTACCCACTTACAAGTTATTATGTTTACCGAAGGAAAACATATTGTTTTTGCTCAGTTTCTTCCTCTTCTTCTTCTCCAAAGTGACCTGACCAATGACATGATTTGTTGATGTCTGTCACCATGGTGACTGGTGTTGGGTTACATAAAGTTGCAATTTCATGGTCTGCTCTGCTCCTGTCACCATATACTAGTAGTACATGTATGTGAATGTGTTTGAGTAAGAATTAACAGAGCAGACCATGTCTGAAGGTAAACATTATGCATTTGCTTTGCAAATGTTACTTCTCTAGTATGTGATATGTTTTTTTATGTGCCTACACTACTTATATGAGATTCTTTGCTCTTACTGGTATTAGGAATAATAGTTTGTTTCTTGTACAACATAGATGTCAGCTTGATGACCTGAGACAGTCCCAGATCCTGAGCCTACTGCTGCAGTTCTGTGACGTGTACGGGAGAGACATGCGGGGCAAGTTCTTACACGCCTTCCCCGCCGAGTCCCGCAGCTTCCTCGGGCGTCTGACCGTGGGAAAACAGCTGGTCGGGCGGGTCACCGAGCTACGGAAGCTGGAACGAAAAATGGCGATGCAGCGTTTCAACCGCAGGCACGTCGTCGGCTTGTGCGAGGACAGGGTGTATCTGTGCGAGATGTACGACACGACGACTACCGAAGACGTGTTGGTCAGCGCAGAACTGGTGAAGGCGGGGCTAGCCTGGGTGGAACCTGAAGACGTCATGTATCCTAGCGACAAGGGGTCAGAGGGCACTGAGGAGAATGACAGAGGAGTGTGGAAGGACATGTTTGTGACCTACTGGATTGACGGCAGTCACTTCTGGGCCCACATTGGTGGGGAGGACACTCACAGCACCATCAGGAGGATACAGGACGAGATAAACTCCACTAAGTCTCATGCAGAACCTTTGATGAAGTGTCCTGAAGTAGGTGATATGGTGGTAGCTCCTCCAAAAGGTTCTCATTATGGGAGTAAAGATGACCTTCCCGGGTCGCCTTGTACGACTGGATACCGTGCGGTGGTGACTGAGGTGGCAGTTGGCATGGTGTCCCAAGTTCGCGTGCACGCCGTCGACTACGGTTTCGATACGGACGTGTCGTGGATTCTGTTGACGAGAGTTCCTTCGTCAGTTGCCGACGATCCCCCACAAGCCACGGCCTGTGTGTTGAGATCTGTGATCCCCCCTCCCCCCAGTGTGCCTGCTCTCTGCAGTGTTCTGGGCACCTTGTGTAACCTCAGCCAAGACTACTGCGGAGTCAGTGACATGATAGTCCAGAGGGAAGGCCTCCCTCTCATCACAAAACTCTGCTACTCTCCTGAGGAAGAAGTTTGTCGACTAGCTGCCAGCGTCCTCCTGAACTTGGCCAGGAGTTCCCGTGTACGAAAAAGAATGGGTCTTCTGGGAGTGCCTAAGGCGCTACTGGACATGTGTCAGAGGTATGTGAAGAATGACGCCATCCTGGAGGTCGGGATAGGGGCTCTGAGGAACCTGATGTACCAGTGTATGCCCAACCGCTGGCGTCTGGTGGATCTCAAGGGGTTTATGGTCCTCATCCACGTCTACAACACCTCGAAGAATGAGAGCATACGGCTGCAAACGCTGGGTGCGATCAAGAACCTGGTGGGTGAGGAAAACACAAAAGGTGACCCGGACTTTTCCCTAAAGTATCATGGGTCTCCTAGAAATGAGGATGGGTACCACTTCATCAAGGCTATGAGGAAAGAATCAAAACTAGAAGGCGGTAATGTTAAAGAGGCTGAGAAGAAAACTCCTCCCCGTGCTAGTGGTAAAATTGAGTCTCAGTCAGGAGATTCAGAGGAGTCATTCGCGAAGTTCATTCTCAACAATGTCACCAAGGCCAGGACCAGAGCAGCCTCTGAGTCAAGTGCAAGGTCAAGAGGAAGTCCTGGAGACAAGAAGTCAGAATCTAAGACAACTTCAGGTAGATCGAAGAGTAGATCCAGATCAAAATCAGGGGGTTCACCAAGGTCTAGATCACCAAGGAAGTCACCTGAAAAGTCAACGCAAGAGTCGCCAACAAGAAAGAAGAATGAGAAGAAGCTAAGAAAAGGAGAAGTCCTTCCAGACCCAACCGAAGTCAGTCTTGGCGCGGACACTCTGAACTCCTTCTTCGATGACACAGGTGATGCTAGCTCTGTGAAGGACCCCGTCGTGGCAAAGGCCTTCTTACAAACTGTCTTGTCTCCAGACATCCCTTCTTCTCGGCCGTTTAGTGAAGAACCAAAATATGTCCAGGGGTTTGTGGTGGACTTTGTGGAAGATGCAACGCACGACATCAGACCCCAGACTTCTATTGACAAAATCTCCATCACTGCCATAGGAAGGATCACCTGTGCTTTTCTCAACAGTGGGAGAGGGGGTAGGTACTTTTATAATACTAGTTAGTGTAGACGGAATGTACACAATGAATTGTCAGATACAAGTACAAGTTTACCAAATCATCTATCAATTATATTTGTAGCCACCTGCCTTTTTGAGTGGTATATTGTCATTTCTGTTTGAACAAAGCAAGTTTTCCTTGTGCTCAAGAACTAAAATGTCAACATTGCTGATTTTTAGGTGGGATTTACCTATCTTTGGACTAAAAATGGTGTTCAATAGTATGTAGTTAAAGTATCAACTGTAATCTTCAGTAGTAACAAATTTTTTGAAGAAATGCTGCCTGTTTCAGTAGCCAAGAATGTAAAATGTGTGCAAAAACTGAGTGCTGAGGGAAAGGCAAATGCTACCATTAATGTCCACAATGTCCAGTGATATATCATGTACATTGGTGACAGAAATCTTTCATGTGTACTGTACAGGTACCTTATACCTGGGCATCAGGTCAGACTACAGGGTACACGGTATAGAGATCACGCGGCACGAGAGAGATGAGTTCCGGTTGGGAATCGACCGCCTGATGACCAGAATGGTACCGCCTGTCAAACACGACAAGTACCAGGTGGCTGCCATCTTCATAGTGATGCTGTACAGTGTGTTACTATAACAGGGCTCAAAATACTGTAATTCCTGATTTGTTCACTGTACTGATAAGTTCACTGTTTTCACTGTCTTTTGTGTACAGTGAACTTATCATTACAGTTAACAAATAATTCCTGGACTTTCTTTTTCCTGCACCTGTCACCACCGTGAACATATAGTTACGTGAACATGTCCATTTTTCTCAGACCGTGAAATTTTGCTACCGTGAACATAAAGTGAATTACAGTACTGGGTGCATGTGCACCTTAGTGCACCCAAAATTGGAGCTGCGCACCTAATTTTTTTCTGTGGGTGCACCAGTGCACGCAAATATTTTTGTAGGCATTTTTAACATATTTAGAAATGTATAATAGTATACCGGATATTCTTGGTCTCTAAGCATCAGAAAAATAATAAAATCTTTGTTGTAGTGCTTGTTTCAGATTTTAAAGTTAGCTCTCATTTTAGATTCAAGCTCAGAAGAGAAGCAGTAAGACCTGCAATTAGGTTTTGTTTCATATGGTGCACCCAAAATATTTTTGGTGCACCTAATTTTTCAGGTTGGGTGCACCAGTGCACCTATACCCAAAAATGAATTTCGAGCCCTGCTATAATGTGCCGTTTATTACCTTATTCATAGGAGGACTCCTGTACCTAGATCTATAAGCTTTTATGTAACTTCTAGATTTGGTGAATGCAGGAAATTTGTAGGCTCAAAAATATAATTTTCATCTAAGTGCATGTTTACATATACACCACAGTTATCAATACATTTTTGTGTTTCAGTATGTTATTAAGTTTATTGTGTTAGAAACTATTAAAAAGTAAAAAAAAGTCTTAAGATATAAAGCTACATGTCATAAGTACTATAACAAACATTTTATGATTTTTGTGACACTTAGATGCCAAGAATATCCTGTATACTATTATACATTTGATATGTACAAAAATACCTACACCAGTGCACCCATAGAAAAAAAAATGGGGTCCACAGCTCCAATTTTGGGTGCACTAAGGTGCACGTTCATCCAGTATTTCGAGCCCTGTAATAGTACTATAACATGTAGTTAAATAGCTAGGTAATTTGTGGCAGGTTCTGTTGTAACTTCTGTACCTTCTAGATTTTATGTAACTTCTACATGTAGTTTTGGCAATTGCAGGAAAGGTTAGCATTATGAGTGTATGTTAGAGTATGTTAAAGTAAAAAAAACCCTAAAGCTACATGTCATGGCAATACTCGCATGTCAGGACTTGAACCTATTTAATTACTGAACATGCTGTAACACAATACTGTGTTTATATTTGTGTCCAGGTTGTTTTTCACCCTGTTGTTGCTCGCCGGGGTTGTGACAGCCCCGATACGCGGAAGTGCATGGACGATCTCCACGTGATCGAGGTACAGATTCGCCCCTCGCTCGGGGTGATCTACAGCACGTGGGAGGACCGGTGTTACGTACGCGTGAAGGCAAGGAACAGTAAGGTATGTTGTTTGTTGTGCATCATTGGTAAACATCATCAGTAAACACATCAGAGCCAACACCCCTAAGGCCACAGCAAGTAATCTTTATGGATGACATCATGCACATTAATTTTCGCCTGATTTTGAAAAAAAAAAAGAAATTTTCCAGAACCTGGAGGGCAGATAAATATGAAGACAAGGCTCGGATTTATTGTTTTGTCTTTAATTTGATGCAATGATGTATTTCATTCCTTTATATGTTGATGTTCCTACTGAATCAAAAAAACTTGTACAATAAGGCCACACCAATTTAATTTGTTGGTTGTCGGATTTTTTCAGAAAAAATATGAAGCGACAGGGCGAAAAAAAATAAAAATAAAAACAGGTCTAGGCATCCTATTATAGGCTTAAATGCTACAAAATGAGCCATGAAGTCAACACAAAAGGCTGGGTTAAAATTCAAACATTGAATTTTGAACTTTTAATCAAACCAGTGCAATGATAGATGTGAAAACTGTAACAACTGGGAAGAAAAGGACTTTCCTCGACTGTTGGGGGCAAAACATGAGCATTTTTCAGTTGATTCAGGACCAGAATCAAATTTTTTTTTTTGTCCAAATCAGAAAAAAACGAAGAGGCGAATCCGAGAACCAACAAATTAAATTGGTGTGGCCTAATTAAAAACTTTAATTTTTCAAAGTTGTTTCAGTGACCAATGGATGTTGTAATAGTTGGCAGTAAACTTAGCACAATAAAGGTATCATCTCTTCTTTTACAAGGTTTATGATGTCAAAATTTGAGAATGTAGGAATCTTGTTTTTTTTAGTCCGCCTTGTCAGGATAGGGTCTGTAGTTATGAATGTATTTTTCAAATTGCATGTAAAATGTTTGCCAACATGCAATTTTGTTTGGGTTTGAGCCAGGACTTAAAAGTGTATATTTGCAGAAAGTATTTCCAAATTGCAGAGCAGTATTGTGACATTATACAATATTGCAAAACATTAATATCACTTCTCTGTGTAGTTGAGCCATCAAGAAGTGAGAGAGTTGGTTCTGAATGACGAGGAACAGCGTTACCGTACAGAGGTGGAGAGTCTACAGAGAGAGATACACAGACTTCAGACACAACTCAAGTCATCTCAGGGAGGCAGTCACAATGAGGACAGTCTACCGATAGGTGCGTACAAAATGTGTGTGAGGCATGTTGTTACAAGGATTCATATTTTTGAGTTTTCTCCTGAAACTAGTTCTGGAATATATTGGCGAGACAGAACGCTCACTGAGGACCAGATTTCCTGAACACAAACGCCCCAGCTTGCTGTCATCTGACGTTTCTCAACACATCCACATCAAATCACCGGGCCATACCGTCTCTTTGGACAAAGTTAGAGTACTGGACACTGAACAGGACTACTTTTTAAGAGGCATTAAGGAGGCCATATATATCAGAGCACTTCAGCCTTCACTTAATAGAGATGGTGGACGATATAAACTCCCTGGCACTTTTGATCAATTGCTTACGTCACGTATCAGTAAAGTCTCGTGTGAATAAGGTCACGTGTTTGTAAACCATAACTCTCGCGAGATCACATTGTGAAGTGATTGGTCATTAATCATCATTGTCATTGTCATTGTCATTAATTATCCTGATGAAGGCGACAGTGGTCGCTGAAAATTTGATATCTCTGTAAACTGTTGGAATAAAGTTTAACGTTTTACTATGATTACTACCAACACGGAGGAACTTTCTTGATAGTTCTGGACTAGTATTACTAAATCTGTGGACTCCCCTTATTCCACGGGGTGGCTGTCAACATATTTTTGTTCTGCCTATTTATGTTTACCGAAGGAAAACGTATTGTTTTTGCTCCATGTCTTCTTCCGCTTCTTCCTCTGTTCCAAACACTAACCTTTGACCTGGCCAATGGCCTCTTTTGTTGACATCTGTCACCATAGTAACTGGTGTTGGGTTACATAATGTTGCAATTTCATACTAGGCATTTAGGCTCCTGTCACCATATACTCGTAGTACACGTATGTAAATGTGTTTGAGTAAGAATTAACAGGGCAGATCATATCCAAAGGTAAACATTATGCATTTGCTTTGGAAATGTTACTTTTCTAGTTTAACCTGCTGTAAAGTAAACTTAGCATGCTGAAGCTCAAAAAGAAAAACTACCAATAGAACTTATTGAAAGTCAAAGTGTCCTCTTTTGTATTTCAGGGAACAGCAGTGCACTGAGTGACATGGCTTCAGGGGTGGTTCTGGGGAACTCTCTGAACAGTTCTTCTGACAGCTGTTCTCCCAAAGATGCCTCATCACCCTCCAGCCCAATGGAAAAGTGCAACATCTCATAGTTGAATGTAAAACCAGAACTTTGCTTGTCTCAGTGATTCTTGTGTAAAGAACTTGCTGAATAGATATATCATATGAGAAGCCATCACTTGTTCTTAGCAAAGATTTTGAATGTTTAGTCTTTCCGTTGTGTTATAAAGTATTTAAATACCAGTTAAGTGTTACTAATTGTAGTTTAGTTATACTACAAGTTGCAGTAGGTTATACTAGTAGTAGGTCTAGTTGTACATGTATTTCTATTAATTTATTTAAGTTTGTTTCAGACAAATGATTATCAAAGACATGTTTTGTTTGGATGGACATTCCAATGAGGATGCATATAGAGCACTGTGATCATGATCCTCATATTTTCTGGCTGTCTCTTCCTCTCCAAGCAGAGTTCAGATGGGAGATCATAATCATTTTCTTATTGGTGCGGGTTTAAGAAAAGGAGGTACAAGTCAGGAGGTAACAATACTCCCTCCAGTCTCTACTTGGAGAGTAGTCTCAAACGCTAATTCCCGTCTCATAAACGGCTAACTTTAAGAGGGCCTGCAAGGGGGGGTCCCGACAATGCTCTACTCTGAATTCGGAAACCTCTCGATTACGCTTTATGATAAATTCCAAGTGTCTACAACGCATTACATATAATTAAAACGCCAAATACGCTCTACGCAAAAATATTAGAGCGGTCCGTCTACGCTTTACGTAGAATTAAAATGGCCGATTACACTCTACAGAAAAGGGCATGCAGGCCCCCCTTTAAGTCTATAAGCACGGTCCATCCACACCATGATGTTTTGTGGCGTAGAGGGTTAGGGTATAAGTTAGGGTTTTAGAGCTACGCTTTTTGACCCTGGTTCGAATCCGAGTCTGTGCCTTTTCTTTTTCCACTACATACATGTATTTACATGCATCTTTATTTTTCATGATCCTCCCTTACGTTTGCAATTCAAATATTGACTTGTATACGTTTCATACGTTTTTGGACCTCAAAGAAAGTTATGATACCCTTGTGTATGGTATCGAGCAGACAGCGATATGGCATGGAAGGCGATGATTGTTCTGAAAGGCGATGACTGTTTAAGAGATGGAAATTTGCTTCTCCAACCTTCATTCCAACCTTAATTACACCATTGACCAATATGGGGTGAATTTTAATATGTTTAAACAGCTGAGGAATTTGTAATGTCCAATTCCTTACGCTGTTGGAACTTGTTGAAAATATTATACTTGTTCATGAAACTAACATTAAATTGATTATTTTCAGAGCCTGGTTGTTGCTGCCTCCTTTTTCTACATTGCATTGAGATAGTAAGCCCTGTACCATGCCAGTGTTGTTCCTAATAAACAGGTTCATGCTTTTAACTGCACTTGTGCTGTGTAAGCCAGGTGATATGGCTGACTCGTGCAGTTGGACCCATGAACCTACAAAAGGTATGGAAAGCTCCAATCAAGAAACAGACGAAAACTTAAGTGTTTAAAGCATGTACAGAGACTATTCTACTCTACAGCTCTGAATCATGGGCTATGAATGCTGCCCAGAGCAAGAAAGTAGATGGTACATATACAAAAATGTTAAGAACAGTGTATAATGTATCATGGAGACAACATCTAACAAACAAACAACTCTATGGCTCTCTCCCGCCCATTTCATCTGTAGTCCGACGACGTAGACTTGCCTTGGCAGGGCATGTTGTTCGTAGTAACGAACCAGCTGGTAGACTAGTACAGTGGCTTCCTACTGGGAGATGTAGAGTGGGATGTCCTTATACTACACTTTTGTCCGTGTTAGAGAGAGACACTGGTCTCGCAGGGACTGCATTAGTGTCTGCCATGAGAGATAGGACATACTGGAGTAACTTTATCAAGTGTACCTCTCCGGATTAGTATAATACGGGATGATGATTACAATTAACTAAACTCTTGTACCATGCATGGACCCATCCAACCGCAAATAACAACATAGCAACTTTGACACAGCAGTCAGTTTATTGAGGGGCTTGTATGTGTACTGTTACAGAGTCTGTCATAAGAGGTCTATTTCAATACAACAAATACACTGCTGGTTTAGACTGATGACGTGTCCCAGAAAATTCCAAATACAGTCCTCTGTAAATGTGTGATTAACTTGTACGTAAGTCAATGGTGTTTAAACAAATTACGAAACACATGTCAATCTTTTAAACTATATCAAACACAAAGATTGGATGGAAGAATATTCCTCACAAGATAAGATTCTTATGAACTGAGAACACCTTTTGCTATATTACATTTCATTCTAGGCTTTTTCCTTGTCTTCTGGGAACACATATTTGCTCTTATCAAACCATAAGTCATCGAAGTATGTGTCGTAGAACTCTTGGTCGTAGAGCTTTTCGGACGGCCAGTTCTTGGGGCAGCCCATCGGTGGTCCGTTCATAGCGTCTAGCTGTGGTCTCCATTTCTCCATCTTGGACACTTTATACAGGAAGCCGCTGACTCCCAGGTAAACGCAGCTTTGGGCAGCGAGGGAATAGCTGTGCACTGAGCAAGAGCAGGAGTTGTCAGTACAAGCCAAAACTGTTCCGTTAGTCAGGGCTCGAAATACTAGGTGCATGTGCACCCAATTTTTTTCTGTGGGTGCACTGGTATTTAAGTAGGTATTTTTGTACATTAAATGTATACAGTAATACTGGATATTCTTGGAATCTAAGTGTCAGAAAATCTTTGGTCAGAAATTGTTTAAGATTTTGAAGTTAGCTCTCATTTCAGATTCAAGCTCGGAAAAGGAGCAGTAAGATCTGTAATTAGTTCTTGTTTTATATGGTGCACCCAAAAAATTTTCTGTGCACCTAAATTTTTAGGTTGGGTGCACCAGTGCACCTATTCCCAAAAATGAATTTCGAGCCCTGTGTTAGTAGTGTGAAATGTTCACACTAAATCTTGTATATCACTGAGGCAAGGAATGTTGGCCATAGTGGCTAAAATGCATTTACAGTTACACATACAAATTCGAGGCCTGTAGCACTTGTCAGTATATGTACAGTAACTAAAGTGTGAAAGTTTGTAGTTTCTTCAACTTAGTGGTTGCAAGAGAAGTATCACAATGGAAGACATAACAAATATATAACGTAAGACCTTACAACTTGAAGTAAAGAACAATCTTATTCCTTGACAAAGACTGGAGTCGAAAATTTGGGTGAGTCCAATTTTTTAGGTTGGCAATTACAGTTCAGTCTTGTTCATAAGTAAAGAACAATGTGAACATTTACAGTAACTTTCTTGTAAAGAAACAGTCATAACTATTGTACCCAAAAATCACAGCCTGTTAGATGAAGAGAACTTACTCCTGACTCCGATGAAGGTTCCTGCAGCACAGCCGCCCATCAAGTAGTTAAACTCATCATCTCCTCGCTTCTGTGCCAGCAGCTGGGTGGTCAGTCCAAATATCGCACCAAGGCCAGCTGTCGGGAGAAAATAGTATGTACTTAGGCCACACCAATTTAATTTCTTGGTTAACGGATTTTTCTAGAAAAATAATGGAGCGGGCAGACTTTTATTATTTAATTTAATAAAATTGGTGTGGCCTTACTGTAGGGCTGGAAATACTGGGTGGTGCACCCAAATTTGGTGCTGTGCACCCAATTTTATTCTGTGGGTGAACCCAAATATTTGTGTAGTTTTACGTATGTAAACTATGTGTAGTAGTACACAGAATATTCTTAAGTGTCAAAAAATAATAAAATTGTTGTAGTACTTAATTTCCTTGGAAATGAAATATAAATAGGTTTGCTGACATTCTTATTTTATATGGTGCACCTAAAACTTTTTTGTGCATCCAGTTTTGGAGGACAGGTGCACCTATGTATTCCCAAAAATGTGGGTTTTCGTTTTTGCATTTGGGAGGTCACAGGTTCCAACCCAGGTGGTCATACCAAAGAATCCAAAATGGTATACATGTACTGCTGCTTTTTATTGTTAGTACTTAAGAGTCATGACTGAGAATGAGTGTGGGAGTTGCAAAACACACACCGCTATCAGGTTGACAAGCTGTAAAACAATGTGGGAAGAAAATTACCTTTAAAGTAAAAAAAACAAAAAAAAACAAACACATCACATTAATACAGATTATGCCTGTATGTTATGGTTTCATACTTACCAAATGTAGCAGTGGTGCTTGCAGTCCTCATTAATACCTCCACTGGGCCTGTCAGTCTGTTCCTATAGGACTGCATAACCAGGTAGTAGGAGAGTCCAACAAGGCCTGAAATATATAACATTCTCATCACAATGAACATCAATACATATTATGATAAACAAATATTTCTGCAAAATCCTATGATACATTTACATAAACAATTGAGGATTTTCAAAACCACATGTTCTGTTGAGTCAATAGCATAAATCAAAATATTTTCTGCACATCAGATCTGTATCATTATGATTATCCTTCTCATCACCTACTCCAATTCCAAAAGGCATTATGCTCAGCCTCTACACTACACCATGCCATTACACTACACTACACTACACTCCAATTCCAAAAGGCATTATGCTCAGCCTCTACACTACACCATGCCATTACACTACACTACACTACACTCTAATTCCAAAAGGCATTATGCTCAGCCTCTACACTACACCATGCCATTACACTACACTACACTACACTCCAATTCCAAAAGGCATTATGCTCAGCCTCTACACTACACTGCATAATTTACACTACACTACACACTATACTACACTTACACTACACTAGTTTATCTGCTAGCTCCACATACCCATGAGCTTTATAGAGATTCTAAATGCCGCTAGAAGCGTCTTTTACATCAAGCTAAAAGACCAAAGAAGGGTTCATGGACTGACAGTGGTTACTTTTTTGTTAAAACGGACAAATTCTAGGTTACTCTGACCAAAAGAACAGAGATAGAGACGGAGACGTACCAGCCGTTGTGGATATCTTGGTGACAACCATCGTCTTTCCAAAGACGTCTTCCCCATCTTTCTTCTCCCAATAGTCCCCGTAAAACTTACGGAGGTTCCCTTTGCAGGGATTGAGCATTGGGGTCCGCCAAGCAATACCCCAAGTCATCTTGTTTTAGGTCTTTCACGGTCAAGAAAAAATAACTTCTCCAACATCAGGACATCATGGCGGCCGAAGGACAAACTGTGACCTTTGACCCATCTGGTATTTGACCCATCTGGTATCTGAAAAATCTTGAATCGTAAGCAATTTTTTATATACAAAATATCTCTTATCAAAACAATATAATTGATAAGTTGAATTTTTTTAAAAATATGATTCTATTTTGGGTTTTTTAACGCTTGAGTGCTTTTCCCAGAATGCACCTTAAGCTGAGTTGTCATTTAACGCCTTCCGAACACTTCACAGACGTTTGGAAGAGATATTCCTCCGCAAGGATCAACTTTATATTTACCAAATCATTGATTATTTGCCTCAAAAGTGCATGAATTTGACAATTCTTCTTTATAATCATTAAATTTATCAGTAAAACTACATATATCTGTCATATGTTTGGAGCATGAAAATATATTATCGGGAACTATTTTCCCTACGTGGTGGACGTGCTGAGGTGAACTGATATGTAAACAGGCCAGGGGTCATCAGAGGTTGAAGTAGTCAGAAACTCGTCATTTGTCGTCCGGAAAAGAAGGTTTAAGAGTTTTCCGAGTGTTTTTTTCCTCAAAAACTGTTCGCACTAGAGTATAAGAAGTTCTCAAGACGTTACTGAGTTGCTGTAAGATGAAGCTAGGCGGCGAGGAGACGTCGGCGATTCCGCTGGTCGCGGTGATGATGGTCAGTCTTGTATCGCGACCGTCTCTGGCGTCGTCTTACGGTAAGTACAACATAAGATTCGCACATAAATAATTTTCTGAAGGAATATATAATTCCTTTGTAAAACAAAAACATGTAGTCTAACAGCATATCTTTCTTCGGTGCATTTACTTCTTGTGAACTTCTTCTTTGCCTTATTTTCGTGGATCGTATACGTATATACGGTAATGTACCGGTATATAAACTGTTCCGTTCGATATGGCGGTTTACTAAAGTTCCTGGAGTATATATGCGTATATGCGAAACCAAGCCGGATCCTGAGGCACATCACACGTTTTAACCCGTATTGGTTGTTTTGAAATCCTTTATTCTAATGACCAAAGGGTATGACAGTGTTTATGATGTTCGCTAAGGTATACGTGTACTAAAATACCAATGATGAATCATTTTACATATAGGGGGGCGTAGTCCTGTCGTCAATGCTGTGAAATATCGTTATACCACATACAGGGACATATTTCTAATATCACTTTTAACCAGGATTCGACATTGAGTCTTAGTTATGTATATCAAAAAAATATTTCTCATTTTTATTACTTTAAAGAGTAACTTTGTATCTTCTGTCAAATCTTCTGTTGATATTCATAGATGACTTGCAAAAGCATTGTCACCTTAAAAAATATAAGTATATGCATGTCTTAACATTTTACTGCTTTAAATTATATATTTATATGATTTCCCAGCATCTATTGAATCAGACTTTTCAAATATAAACCTCAATCAAGATTGATTAGAAGATGTAATTTGGTACAAATCATTGACATATCATTAAGATTCTTTATTAATACATGTATGTATTTATGTCAGTACCTAGGTCTGCATTTTGTGTAATCATATGTGGTTCTGTAACATTTTTATTTTTATTCATAAATCAAATCTTAAAATCGTAACATAATTGAATTTGTTGATGTTTACCTGTGCAGGTGGGGAACGTGTGTTGTTAGAAGATGTGAAGGTGTTGACACTTTACAATGGCCGGATGACAAACTCGAGAAGAGCAGGACCAGTACCGCAGGTAAGGCTCACTTCTAAAGTTACTAAACCTTTCCTGTTTCTCGACGGACCATAGAAAAACCTGCTGACCCTATAGCTAGCCTTTTTTGGGGAGGTGGGGGGTGGACCCCTGCAAGGGACATAAGTTTTTTGAGCTGATCGACCTTTTCTAGCTCCATGATCTGACACCTGAGTGATGAAATGTTGGTTTTCCAACATTGACATAGAAAATATAAGTGTCCTCATGCAAGTTTTACTATGTTTAACTGTCTGTGATGTATAAGCAAGGCATTGATATAAATTGGATCACTAGCTAGAGATCGCCACCAAAGTGGAAAACAGAAAATCCCTAATTACCGACCCTAATTTTTTAGGACTAAAACAGGGAACACAACATTTTTTCCAAGGCCTTAGTTACGGAGAGGATTAAAGTTATGTAAATTTTAATCTCATAGTCAAAGATGATTAGTATGGCAATTTGCAAAGTTGAACATGTTTACTAGTAACTTGTCTCATTAGGTTTTTATGTTTTTGTGGTATTCAATCTATGATATTCATAACATTGACTGCCAACAAGGACACGTCATCATACAGCTACATATACTGTCGTCATTTTGAAACAACTTTGTCACAAAAACACAAAATATTTGTGGTATACAATGTGAAGTATTCATAACAAACTGTTAACTGTCAACAAGGACACGTCATCATTTTAGCTACAGTACCCCGGTATGTCTACCAGTACTGGTCAGTATTAGCCCACAGTGACACACTGTGAATTTCTTGATCCTCAGATTTCTGCAGCAAGATAGTTAGTGGAATGGGCTGGCAAAATAAAGTTGATAGCAACAAAGAAACAGGCAGGAAATGAGCATTTTGGAGTTGCATCATATCCTGAATGGTACATTATTGTGAAAAATGAAGTGCAAACCAAAAAAGTCAATTGGCATGGCTTATAAAACTGTTGCTTAGTGTATTGTGTTAATATGCATACATGTACCTTGAGTTGCTATATATTTAGACCCAGTTTACACGGCGACAAAATCCGTGCGTACGAAAATTGCGTGCGAGCGTACGTTCGTTTCTGTTTACACATCGACAAGGAGAGCCAGAGGACAAAACAATTTTGAAACAGAGAATCAAAGGGAAAGCAAAACAAAATGAAACGCGGAGAATTGAACAAGTAAACACGGCGCTAGTAGGTAAATGAGAATCGAATGTAAACACGGCGTGGTTTGGCAAGACGCGGGAAAAAGATAGGGAATTTGCATATGATCCCTGACCTCCTGCATCAGGGAAGTGCGTGCGTATGATCAGTTCTGTTTACACGAGGCCCGGAGGCACGAAAAGTCATAAAAACTCCCCGCTGGGCGATCGTACGCCTGCTCTAGAGGTAATGTACGAAAATTGCGTACGAAACTTGCGTACGCAAATTGGGACCCGTTTACACGGAGGGAAAACCTTTGCGTACGCAATTTTCGTACGAAATTTGCGTTCACAATTTTCGTACGCACGGATTTTGTCGCTGTGTAAACCGGGCTTTAGGTTATGCTAATGAAGAAAGTTTTTGTTTTCAGCTGAAATGTGTGGGGGGTTCAGCAGGATGTAGCAGCTTCGTGCCACAGGTGGTACAGTGTACCAACCAGGGGTCAGACGGATATGACATACAGGTGTGTGGATATCCTTTTCACTTATAAATACTAGTACTGGATACCTGACTCTTAGTAAACTGTTTATAACTATAAGCGCTTGTTTTCTTGCCATGACTATACCTAACTTTCTACTTTGACATCTTAACTTATGTCTTTAGATGGCAATAAGTATCTGTTTACATTACGAGAGAGAGAGAGAGAGAGCGAGAGAGAGAGAGGTTTATTTGTACTATACAAGTACATGTACATACAAAAGCCTGTAAGCAGCCATATTTGGCTCAATTGAGAAGGCTTTAAAACACAAGATGCACTCAGTACATTGTACAGCTATTAGATAAAAGTTCGTTACATTTGATAAAAACCTATTCGTTGCATATCAAGTTTACATTAAGAATTACGCAGCAAAAATAGCGGCAATAATGCAGGTAGCATCTACTTGCATTTTCAAGTCACCTCTCTGTTAAGGAGTTCTAGACAAATTGGGAGACCTAAATGTTTTCGTTGTTTGTTTGTTTACATGAGTTTGTTGTTGTTTACAGTGGGAGTGTAAGACAGACATGGACAATGCTTACAGGTTTGGGTACGTGGAGGTGTCCTGTGAGGGTTATGACTATCCTGATGACCCCTACATCCTCAGAGGCTCTTGTGGGGTAAGCAAGTATACCTTTTATCCCCAGTGATAGAACTGCAATTAAAAAATCATGACATGATGTTTTCTTTCCAAGTCAAATTTGTATTGTATCTCCAACTGAAAGCTTGATGGGCCCTATGTTCATGTACTAAGTATAATTTGTATGTAAACACAATGTGTAAGTTGTACAAAATATCTATAGGATTTACAATTAATTGTCTCATTTATTAAGAAGCAACAGTTTTGAGCTTGATTATGTATAGAATATTCAGTCCATGTAGTGTTAAGCACTGTAAGTTCGAAAGTCTAGATGGATAATTGTATTGCATAAGTTTCATGTATACGTTAGATGCTATAGATACATGCAACTACATTCTCAGGGGAGATAACCAATACAGTGTTCAAATAGGAAAATGTAGTAAAGAATGTTTCGATCTTAGAGAACGCATGTTAGAGAATAGTTAACCTTTATTGTTACATCATACATATACTCTGTACGTAAGATGACGTTATCCACACATGTATTTAGCTTTGTTAGATCTTTAGTTAAGTTGTAGAAGACCATACAAAAGTCTCTGTACTTTTTTGTTGTGTCAATAAAGAATCATGTCGTGTCATGTATTCAGTGAAACATTCAGAAAGCTGTACTTGAGTAAAGATCAGTAACACAGTGTTATGTATCCCCCTTTTCTCTTCTATAGCTGGAGTATACTTTGGACTTCACCAAGGAAGGCTATGAGAAACAGAACTCTGGAGGTGCTGGGTATAGTCATGACTACTACGGGGACGAGACCTCACACTACGGCTCCTACGGGGCTGGGCAGGGTTACCATGGTTACAAGAAGACCTCCTGGTTTGGAGACCTGGTGTTCCTGGGGATTGTGGCACTGGTCGGATATGCGATATATCAGACCTGCATAGCATCACCACATGAGGGGTAAGTGTACAATCATGTAGATAGGGACACAATAGTGCTGTGTACCAGTTTGCTGGAACTAGTTCCGAACTTGTAAAAAAGAGTCCTTTTTGTTCTAAACCACCTGAAACCTTCAATAGTAAAAAATTTGCACTGCAAAATAAAGAAAATATTGCCATTGGGCATTGTCAAATGCCTGATAGCCTTTGTAAATTATGTGGCACAGTTTTGCACAGACCTTTCCCGCAAACAACATACTTTGCTTCTAAACCCTGGTAGTGCAGTGCTCGCTATTTTGCAGTAAAGATGCCCAATTTTCCATTGGGAAATGTTAACTGAGATTGTGTGAGAAGTCCCTTCCATATTTTGTACATGCCCTGGGTTTAGGCCTCTGGACTTGAATCCAGACCTGGACCTGAACATGGGTTTATGTACACAGCACTAGCGTTTAAAGTACAAATGTACATGTACATCATACTTCAGGTCTTAGAAGCTTATCTGTAGCTTATTCATTATTAATCAGATTGTGAACTTTCTACCTTTCCTTAATGATGTATTTTTGACTGCTTTATGTTGTTGTTTATCTGTTGTTGTTTGTTCACGCAGAACCCCCTACCCTGACAGCGGGACTGGATCAACCTACAGACCAGGGGGGCCCAGTGCCCCTCCCCCTCCTGGTTTCAGACAAGACTACATGCCAGGTACGGTTCATTCCTCTCTCACATAACTATAGTAAGTCTTTTAGTGTTCCTCTTGGTTTTCTCTTCATATAGCTGTCTTAGGACATTAAACAGTGGTTATTTTATGAGAGTAGAAAGATCTTTAAATGTCAGAAAACTGAAGAATGTGTAGGGACGTCAACATGATGGCAGATACAGCTATGTGTTGTGTGAAAACGCTCTATTTTGTTATACAGTAGATTCCACTTACATGTATTTGTATTTCTTGTAATTGTATATTTTTGGGAAATTGTGTAGAATCCTTCAATACCAAACCATTTACTCAATTGTGAAAACAATGCATAATTGTATAGCACATTATTGTATATTTCGGGGTACCAGTATCGTATAGAATTTGGTCCGACAACATTGTATAATGACCCAGGGCTACACATTAAATGTTAGCAAAAACTGCATGAATGGGCAGTTAGTGTTTGTATAAAGACACTAGACCACCCAAAAAATTGAAAATGTCTGTTTAGGGTGTCGACAAATGGGCTATACAGATATGCGGAACCAGGCTTTTAGCTAGGATTTTTTTGGTGGGCGTCCATTTTTTTTTATTGTATGCTATGCACAGTGTAGACATGCTGAGTGCAAGATTTTAGGGGGGCTTTTTGAAATTCACAATGCTCTCAAACACTACTTTCTGCATTTTCAGGTGTAAATTTGAGTTTTTTCCTTCAGTAAACCATCATTTTTGTATTTATAGTAAGGCTGGAGGGAGGCATGTGTGCATGGCAAGGGTTGGGAGTGGAAAAAATAGGGCGTCTTTAGGGTGTCCTACAAAAAAGTAGGGCGTCCAATTTCTTATTATTTTCAGTACAGGGCGTCCAAAAGACACCCTGGACACCCCCTAGCTAAAAGCCTGTGCGGAACCTACTGTACTAGTAATCTCATCATTGATGGTGATGGTGGTTCTTTGACTTTCGTTTGGGATTTGATGATCTTCTTAGATATATCACAAGTACATTTCCATACTTCCAATACTTGAAAGTACTTAGCCCGATAGGGCATGAATGTACAATAAAGGTTAATTCTAATCATTCTAGAACTACATGTATGACTGTGATGTTGTGTTGTTGACAGGTTCGAGTGGTTGTTCCTCGTCGTACGACAGTGGCTACACCGGTACTGGGACGTCCCACTCCCGGACTCAGCACACACAGCAGGGTACAGGGGGCGGCTTTGGGGGGTTCTGGGGCGGGGCAGCTACAGGGGGCCTTCTGGGATACCTGTTCGGAAGTGGAAAGTAAGTTGATATTTGATCAAACTTTCTTTCATTGTCAGATAATTGTTTGTTTGTTTCGCATAACCGGTAAACCGCCTTCAGCAAGCCGGTAAAATTGGTATATGCTGTCAAAGCTATCAAAGGTTATTATGACTTCAACACCTAGACTTCACCACCTAGTTCGGATATGATTGAGTTAACTTAATTAACACCTGTACATAGCCATGCCATATTGACAGTAAGAACTTTATTCAAGTGTTTTGGTAGGTATGTCAAGCTTCTCTGCTCCAGCATTGGAATGAGGGGCATAAACGCTTCTTTTTATCTCGAAAATCAACAGTTTGCATTATGCAATTAAAAATCCCAACCTAATAATGTAAGGGGATAGCTAGCCAACTGTTGTCACTTCATACTATAGCTATATCAATGTAAGGAATTGTTTTCCCTTGTATTTCTCCTTCTTTCCCTGCCATGTCGTGAAATGTGGTGAAGTCATGCTGAATTTGCTCCAAAGCAAATGTCGGCCTTTCTAGTCTCATTTCCTGTTTTCATCTTCCTGCTGTCTGTTGCCTTTTGGAAGACAGTAGACAAATACATAGACAGAATTGGTGAGAAAATCATAATCATGATTAAAACATGAAATTCACAAAAACTATCAGTATTTCTTGGTGTTATGAGAGCTTTGATTTCTCGTTCATGATGTTAGCAGATGCATGCCTGTAGCCAGGATTTTGAATGGGGGGGTTCTTCCCACTTCTTGAGGGGGCCTCGAGCGCCGTAGGCGCGAGGTTCCTAGGTTGCCTTCTAAAATGGCATTTCGTGCATTTTTGAAAGGATTTCCAAGAAAAAATCAGAGATAAATTTTTATTCAATGACAAAGGGAGCAGTTTTTCTACGATTCCAGTCCATCTTTTCAAGAAAAATCTTGGACCTTTACATAAAAATGTGGACCAAAAAGTGGACCTTTACATAAGATGTGGACCAAAAAGTGGACCTTTAGATAAAAAGTGGACCAAAAAGTGGACCTTTGAGCCTTGTGGGGGGGGGGTTCTTCCGAAATGAGATGGGCATGAGATGTCAGCATGTTTTTTGTTTAAAAGTTAAAACTTTAGATCCAACACAGTTATAGTTAATCAGTCTTCTAAAGGAGGACCAGAGTGATTGGTCAAAAGCTCTAGGTGAGAGAACTTTTTGTGTTGGATCTAAAGTTTTAACTTATTAACTTTAAGACATGTAGCTACCAACACAGAACTTTCATGATAGCATTGTTTTTTGTTTACTTTGATAGTCGTGGATATGGCGGATACGGTGGATATGGCGGATACAACCACTACCCGCGGCACACGGCGTGGGGACCGCGCCGCACCGGTTGGTCCAGCTGGTTCGGACCGTCTACCGGCAGCTACAGGTCTACCGGCGGGTTCGGCGGAGGGGCGTTTGGCGGCGGCCGTGCTTCGTTTGGCGGTGGAAGTTCTGGTACCAGAACAGCATCCGGTGAGTTGTAGATTTTTTTTTTCTTTTTTAAATGACTTTCTTTATTTGAGTTTTTTAAATAGATGAACAAAAAAGGATGGCAAACAGATACATTGTAATACGCAAAAACAGAAACGCTGTCGGACCGCTTGGCAACCCCCATTGCCGATAGTCATAAATGTTTCGACAAAACATATCATCGTTCATCCTGAAGAATAGACCACAATTACCTGTTATCTATTACAATTACCCACTACATGTACCTATCTTTAACTAGAAAATACAGTATTAAAATTTCCCCATTTTCCCTTATGTTTATGTACTTTACCTTGCCGGTATGCAATATTCAATTCTAGTTCGTAGATATAAGAAACAAAGGATTTGAAAGCAGACAAATTCAAAGAATATTTCCTATTTCTAAAAACAAATACCTTTGAGTTGTAGATTTTTAACTTTTTCCCTGCTGCCTAACCATATAGCCAATAGAAATTTGCGACCAGGCGGCTGCCTTAGAAGGCTGAAGTTTGACTCTTCTTTCTGAATTACATGTACCAAAAATCACCTATTACATTTGTACGAGAACAGTCAGTAGTTTATACCATTTTGGTCTCAAGCTTTAGTTACATTTTGAAGGAATTTAAAGTCTGATCAGTCTTTGATAGCTTGATATCTTTATACAAATGTGGGACTATTTCATATTCTCTCTCACACGTCAAGTAGATAAAAAAATTAAGTCGTTTGGTGTTGATGACTTTCAATTTGTATCTCCTTTACTAAAACTTGTTTTCTTTCTGCATTTCAGGATTTGGTGGTACAAAACGAAGGTGATGCAAGGAGAGGTGGACTGATAGACTTGGACGACAAAAAACATCAACTTAAAGTCATGAACTGTGTTGGGAAAGAGGCATACTTCACACCCCTGTTAACATGAGAAATGGATCAGTATTTGTGTTGACAGCTTTTCAAATTCATTACTGTAAATTTCGTCGATTTTTGTGGGGACAGTAGAAGAGAAAGGGTGTTTTCAATGTCTTTCACAGTTTTCAACAGAAGAGGTTATGAAGAGCATATGGTTTTCATGTAAACAGGGGTGATAAAATATGTGAGACAATGATTTCATATCTCGACAGTGACAGAAGAAGATGAAACACAACTGAGAATCTATATATGACAACAGGACAAAGAGAGAGAAATCTTTTATGAAGCTCTAAAAGTTGTAAACTCTATACTTTTCCAATGTAGCTTGGGGTGAGATATATTTCTATACAGTGGCCAGTATTGTCTTTCCTTGTGCAGCTAAGAAAAGAAAAAAAATCATGATTCCTTCAAAGACACTTTCTCTCTTGTATGATACCAGTATGTATCATTCAATGCTGTACTTTTATGCTTTTATTTATGTTCTATATATAACTGGCCATCCTTAAATGCTATGGATGCCATTGTACCTCCAAATCTGCTACAAGACATATAGATTAACTATTATTTCCTTGATTTTCCCAGGGATAGAATCAGAGTTATTTTGGTGAATGTTTGGGCTTAAGTTTGAATTATACATGTATCCACATATGTAAACGTGCATGGTACACACTTGCAAGCTTTGCAAGTACACTATGTTTTGTTAAGCTATGTTATTAATCATATGCATTGTTTATACATATTGCACCTATGAAAGGGTTATGTAGACTTGCTTATCATATTCATAATCATTGTATTTCTTTCCAAATTTTGGAAACAATGACTTTTAATTCAGGTAATCCATATATGCTGCTACACTGGTGATTTTTTTTCTCATGGAACTTGTCGAAAAGTGTTTTAAAGAGTTGTAGGTGCTTCGTATTATATGTATTTTATGTACATAGGAAAGCATCGTTCAAGAGCATGTACTTACATGTATAATACATATTAGGTTCATAGTTTTTTGAATATATGTACAGCACATATGACCACATTGCTGGTAGTAAGACCAACATTTTTAGTGCATGATTTAAAAGTACTGTTTGCAATTTTATTTTATCAACAATTCAGGCAATACGCCTTCTTTATTTTCATTTGTAGGTGTACTTTTAGTCATTCCTTTGGTGATATATATGCTTCAATGCTAGAACTATAATCTCATATCTAACTACAATGTGCCAAGATGCTGGCTGATTACATGTATACAAAAGTCTTATTATTAAATTATCTATCAGCAATATGTTTGGCTATTGTCATCTTTTGACAATAATCACATTTCATAATACATGTAGTTGAAATACCTTATCATTATTGCCTTGTGCAATGTACATGTACTTTGTTTTGTATCATAAATTTGACTAGTGTTGCCATTATTACTTGTATATGAACAATAAGAAAAAATACACGTTTTCAATATATAGTGCATGTATTAAAGTTGTTTTGGGTGGTCAAAACTGAACTGTTTAGTATTTCAGTCTCTTTTTGCAATCTTAGGCCTAACTTTCAATTCTATTCGACAGTGTCAACTCAGTAGATGTACATGTAGTACAAAAGTCCCCAAAATCAAGAATTTGATATTTTAAATTTGTAAAACCCCTTCCACAGCCTCATGATCACATGTGTCATAAGGCTTTTTCTTGAGTAAGACGCCCCAAAATGGATCACCATTTCATAGAAACCGGTAGTTCAAAATGTCATCAAAATAAAATTAGATGAGATATAGGAGGTTACCACGTAATCTTTCAAATAACCTTGTTAGAATTAACATTTTAATGTCTTGGGGTGGTGGGACTACGGCGCACAGATATGTCAACTTTTTGTATTTAAATGTTAATTGTATTAATATAAGTTGTAAACTTGAGTGCAGCGTCACACTGTCCTTGTTATGTTTTCATGCTTTGATGAATAAAAAAAATAATAAATAAAATTAGATAGAAACGGAATTCCCCACAAATCTAAATTTTAAACCTAAAAGTGACATTTTAATGGCTGAAAGATGCACTAAATATGATGTTTTCGACAGCACAAAAATCGAGTTGATCCCCATGACTAGTTACTGCACTAGTATGTACAGTGTACTTCCCGTATATCAATATCGAAAACCATTTCCACAGTGTCTCCTGGAAACCCGGCATGATCGTAGCCTCTTTTGCAGACTCTTCGACTGGGCCATTTTTGCGTGCTTTATTTCGTATGGCCTATCTCCTCTTGGCCGGCACATTGAGCCTGCCAAGGAGACGATCTTGAATACAACAACAACAACATCATGTTGTCAGAAACTAGGTACAACACAACCCAACATTTAAGAACCTCTGTCCCACTCAACGCAAATGACGCCACATTATGTACTTTACTTCTTACAGGTAGCCCCTCCCTCCCATACCCTACCAACTGCCGTATCTTTGATATTGTGTTCAACCATGGAGGTAGAAGAGAGATTTTTAGTACCTCCATGGTTCAACTATATTCATCACTCTGGAAGATTTGACCAATCTCATTAATGTTATGCTATAGGTATTGGTGCGCCAGCCACTTTCATTTTATGTTTATGTTATACTTTATGTCATCTTTATGTTTACTTTTGTATTATGTTTTATGAGCAGCGGATTCACATAAGCACAGCAAGTGCTTCCTATCTAATGCTCAAAAATCCATGTGAATAAAATAAAATAAAATAGGATAAAGTAAGCAAGCCAAAATCGCGTGCCTAGGTTCGAGGCTGTAGCTCCACCAATTATGACGTCATTGCAACCTGTTCAACCGGCCGCAAGAAAACAAAAGACTCCACCCTCGCTCCGACGCTGTGTAACCTTGTGGTATTTATTATTCATGAGCCATTCCCAGTAACGCCTTACTGTAGGATGCATACATAAGTAGAAGCACTCAGGAATTGTCTTCCCCGTTTTCAGGATGTAAAAGACAATACCCGAGGTGACCGTATAACCTGGACTTTTTTCCGCGTCAGACGCTATTCTCAGGTACACCGGAAGTGAGGGGGATTATCCTTGCTGGAGCAGACAGTCTGAAACCCCCATTCTTGCTTGGGGTCAGCTACAAGATGGTTGTTCTACACGCGAAGACCGTGTTGCATGCAGCGGTGGTTCTATGCCTTGTACGGCGAGGTATCGGATGTAACTCGGGCGGAGGCGTGTCAGAAACAGGTAGGACGTTTTGTATTGTAGCAAGAAGGTTGTACAATGTATATAACCTCCTTGATAGTACAAAATGCGTATATTTTAACATTCTTGATTTCTGTGTGACCTTGACATGGAAGCGTCACTTGACAGTGCGCCCTCACTTGAGTGCAGGTGTGGTTGTGGTTGTGGTGGTGTGCGTGTCGGAGTGAAGTTGTGTGACGCCTTTATAAAGACACTTGGTTGGTCCCTCTTTCAACAACAAGATTCATAAGACTACCGTATACTCAGCGTCTGGAACAGCCTACACGCGAAGACTTTTCATCGGCGTCAAATACTTGCCGAACGCAGAAGAAAAATTCAAAATATAGTCACAAGGCTTTGGTAACATCTAAAGAATATAAATGTTACCAAAATACGCGTATATCACCTGAATACAACATAGTATATCACCTGAATACTTAAACATGGGGCGATCTGGTAGTAAATAGACGGGGCGAAAGTAACATGGGGCGAATGATCCAGAAATCTTCTAGAAGACTTCCTTTAAGAGACTGCAATGATATACATGTGTGTATAGATAGGTTTAGAAATGGCAATAAAGAACAAGCACGGACCTTCACCAACTTTGTACCATGTATGTGTACGGAAATTATCTATTATACACTCTTTACAGATTTAATAGGACCTTGAAGGTGCACATGAATGACCACAGTAATCTGAATCTTACACATTGTCTGACCCTTACTTTTACTCACTCATGACATCAGTGAAAAACTGCCCGCGGGTTAATTTGAGCTTTTCATGAATAAACAACGTTTTAAAAGAATGTACTGTTTAACAAACAGGACTAAAATACAGGACGAGTACTGTCTTTAAACAGTAGAAATTGAAACTACGAACATGCAAGGTCTATTGTGCGAGAAAACGAAAGCATGACTCATCGGGAATTTTTCCATGCATGAGGAGCTTAATATAACATGGTGTCACGAATGCTGTCCAAGAAGCTAGAGTTTTGACAGGGCGACAAGATCTGACTTGCCTTCTTTGGGGCTAGTGCTAGCGCTGTCACGATCAGTTCTTGGGGCCTGACATAAACCGTCACAATTTTACTCTCAAAGATCTGCTTGGAGATCACAATGTCGTAAAAGTAAGCGACAACTTCACAATGCAGTGAATAGTATTTTTTTTTTTAATTTCATCGGTCACCACAAAACAAGGCTCATGGGAGCCACTTAAAATGTTTTGGGTTACTGTACAGCCAGTGAGGACAGATGTTTATTGACCTTAGACTTGAAGAGCTTAAGGTTATACTCATAGGGGAAGCAATCACGAGGTAGCTTATTCCAAAGTGATGTTGTTCTTGGAAAGAAGCTTTCAGCGTGGAACTTCCTCCTGAGAGGTGGAGAATGGAGGAAGAAAATTTTCGAAGTGGGGGCACTAGCGAATGAAGTTCCACGGAGCATTTGCCGAAGTAGCGATAAAATAACGCAAGGCTTGCAACATTACGCCTATGTGAGAGTGGTAGTAGGGTGATGCAGTTCTACTTTAGTAGTGAACTACTAGTATGTTCAGGTGTATGATTTCCTAACCTACACCCACGTGTTCAGGTGTATCTTACAATCAGACACCAGCGAAAATTCACAATAAATGAATGAAACAAGAAAATATTCACTACAACTCTAAATACTAACTCCTTGTTGTGGTTTTCTATGAACAGATGTTAACTACAACTGTCAGACGAACCCGTGTGTGAATGGCGGGATCTGCCAGGACTCCCCAACACAGTACACCTGCATCTGTAACCATGGTTACACCGGGGACACCTGTCAGCGAGCCGCCAGTACCGGTATGTTTACTAGTTTTATTTATTTATTTATTTATTCATCTTGAAGACACATGGGTGGTCCCTTCAGCCCCGTGGGGCTGATTTCCAAGGGAGCCCAACACAGAAAATAAGGTAATATAATATAATAGTAAATAAACGTAACAGTGAAATCATAAATCATTTTAACTGAATCATCACACAATTGAAGTTTTTTTTTCTCCCATTCTTTTTTATTCTATTCCCTCCCTTCCTTCTTCCTTCTGAGATAGCTCAGGTTTCGAAGAAAAAAAACGCTTCGTAAAAAAATGTAAATACATAAAAGATCGTGCTGTGCTTCTAAAGTTCTATTTCCACTTCTGGGTATAGAATTATTGTTTTGCGTGGCTAAGTTGTGGGTTGTCTCCATTTGTCGTAATACAACTGTCCTAATAGCTTGGTTTGTATGGTGAATGGAGGGTGATTTTGACAGTTGATTGACAGGGACGTCAAGCCTGAAAGTGACCTACTAGTACAATATTACGTATACGCCACGGGTTAGAGTAAGTGGGCAGTACGTGGTGGAATTCAGGAGGTGGAATACCTGATTAAATTACATTATATTCAGGAAGATCTCAAACACTACCCGGAGGTCTTGCCACTTCCACCGAAGCAAATCACCCTTTCTTCCTCCATACACCACCTCTTAGAAGTTCCACGCTGAAAGCTTCTTTCCAAGAACAACATCACTTTGGAATAAGCTACCTCGTGATTGCTTCCCGTATGAGTATAACCTTAAACTCTTCAAGTCTAAGGTCAACAAACATCTGTCCTCACTGGCTATACTGTAACCCAAAACATTTTGAGTGGGTCCCATGAGCCTTGTTTTGTGGTGACCTATGAAGTAAATAAAAAAAAAGTTTAAAATCTCTGTTTTTTTACCTGTTGTATTTGCCCTTCTCCAGACAGCGGCCACTGTGGTTCCCCGGCCATCATGCCGATGTTCCGGGGCGCGGAGAGCCGCACGGCGCTCGGCTGGGTGTCGGACGCCGAGGCCGTGGTGGGAGGCGAGCCGGCGTCTCCCGGCTCCTGGCCCTGGCAGGTGTCTCTCCAGCTTCGCGGGGGGCATGTCTGCGGGGGGTCCATCATCTCCAACCGCTGGGTGGTGTCCGCGGCACACTGCTTCGCAGAGTAAGTGTTCTCTGTCAATCCTTCTTTCAATCTAATTAAGGCCATGTTGATTTGATTATATGGATGACATCACCTGGGAACCCCAAAACTGATGCCAACGTGCGAATAAAAAAAGTTTTGCCAAAAAAAAGTTGCTTTCATTATGAAACCTACGTGGTTTTGAAGGTCGAACAAATGACACAGAGTATGGTTTGGCGAATAATCTAGTCTTCAAATTCATTTCTTTACATTTTCGTCATTTCCGTTTGATTTTGGTTTTCTACGACACTGGTATCGCTTTCCAATATTTTTTCCAACTAACGGTATATTTTTGCTCATTTTTCAACTGTTTTGTACGATTTACAGTGTGGCTGAAAACTTTTTTTTGGAAACGGCCGAAAAGTTATGCACGCGCGGATGTCATCCATATAATCAAATCAACATGGCCTAATCGAGCTCGTCAACTTGACCCTTTGAGAAATAACAGTGCAGGAAAATTGCTTTCACAACAGCTACTTCAATCAGTGTAGACGTCTGATTAAAAGATAAAATGATACCTTTTTTTATACTAGATAAACCTAGCTTTCTTCTAGTCTGGCTAAGGACGTTACTAGTACGAGTATATCGAGGACAGAATTTCTCACGAATATAATGTGACACTCAGTGCTTATACCTGTAGCTAAATCAACATTTGTTTATGTCAATGTCGGGGCACTGCAATTACTAGTACTAGCCAAATTTGTCCATCTAGCAGACGAACAAACAAATGTTACATAATATCGATCAACAAAAACAAGAAGCGTAGGCCAGAAAACTGATTGTTGTTGTTTTTAACATCCGTTGTTTTGCTTTTAACATTCAAAAATAAATTGTTCTTACTCAGGAATGTCAATCGGCTAATATTTAAATATTTATTGGTACTCTTTTGTATTTTTTGCACTTTTGTATTTTCGTCTTGCATATCTTGGCAAGCTAAATTCGCCAGTTAACGTTCGAATCCCACTGTCGGCATTACTTAGTATTTTAAGAATTCTTTTTGACAATGCCGAAATGCCAGCTTTTTTAAAAGCTCTTCCGACTTTGCGCTGCCTTCATCTAGTATTCTTTTTTTCTGACGGCCGGGTCAGCTTTTTTCAAAAGCTTTTCTTGTTTTTTTAGCTACCCTAACGCGGGAGACTGGAAGGCGGTGGTCGGGAACCATGAGCTGAACACCTGGTTTTCAGGCTCAGGGGAGCAGACTAGGAACATCAGGAGGATCATCGTACACAAACAATACAACGTGGGCATCAGGTAAAACTGCGATTTTGTTCATTGATCAAATGCAGGCAAAGCAAAACTAGAAAGGTAACATTTGCGAAGAAAATATGTTTAACTTCATATGGTCTATCATAATCTTATTCATATCTTATTAATTACTCAAACACATTCAAATATATGGTGACCAATCCGTCCTGCCACTTGGTACATAACATAATCCATCACCATAGGGTGTCTGCTACAGCGCCAGTTACCATGGTGACAGTCGTCTGGTTCAGGTCATTGACCTTATATGTTTAGAACGGAAGAAGAAGAATCGGATCAATACCTGTTCGTGTAGTACATGTACATGTAAAGCCTACTTTTCTAACTGTCTAACTTTTTTTATAATATCCTTTTTTACTACATTTTGTTACAGACATGATTATGACATCGCCCTGCTGGAGTTGAGCAGCGCGGTGGTGTTGAGTACCCGGGTCAAACCGGTCTGTCTGCCAGAGGCCGGCCAGGAAGTGTCGGACGGGACCGACTGTGTCGTCACCGGCTTCGGCTACACACGAGAAGGTACGTGTATTTACCTCCGTACGGAGGTATGGCGCGAAATCCCACCGCTGCCACCAGTTTTATAAGCTACAGAGTCGTCCGCACCCAGCCACAAGACTGATCTGAGAGACACTCAGGTCATGGTCTTTTATTGGGTCTTACTCCACACCACATGTCCTATTGCTGACAGGATATAAGTCCTACCTCTACATTACTAGTATTGTTTCAGGTGTGCTTGTTTGTGTTTGCTTGTGTGTTCGTAGATACATGAATGTAGAGCGAGCGGAAGGGGAATTTTATAACCGCAGATTTACCTTAAAGTCAAGTTGATCTACCCGCAGTCTGAGTGCATACATCAATCACAAGTTTTCGAGCCATTCGCACAATCACACCTTTAACTATAATATATGAGAGTGGGACGTCTTAAATTCTGACCTAGGAACAAAATAGCATTACTTTAGAACGTCAGTTTCGCAAATAAAAGTCCAACTTAAAGGGCTCTTCTGCTTATCTAGGCTTTTCTGCTTATCTAACTTGGCCCCTCCACTTCTATCGTATTCATAGGATCAGGAGCAATATCGGACACTCTACAGCAGGCCAAAGTCCCGACGGTGGCGCCCAGCACCTGTGCCAGCCAGATGCGTCCCGCCACTATCACTGCCAGAATGATGTGTGCTGGGTATAACGAAGGAGGTGTAGACGCCTGTCAGGTGAGAAAAACGTCCTCAGTGAGAAAATAAGAGACTTCGGACTTCAAGGAAGTATTTGTGGTTTTGTGACTGTTTTGGAACAATCGAGAGGATTGTTTGATGTACTGTAATCGGGGCTTGGGTAGAAACTATGCAGGATTGAAGGATCTTCGGTTTCCTGAATTCCCCCATGTCGACCTCTGACTTTGGCCAGATATCAAGACCTTCAAGTTCACCCAATTTCCTGTGTCTGGTCTGCTTTTCAATGTTCCTCCACTCACATGTTGTCAAAATAATTTGTCCTACACTGTGACAGTGTCTTGCAAAAAGCTGTCGAAGATTAGTTTAAGTAGTTTAGGCCACAGCAAGTAAATTTTATGGATGACATCCTCCACAGACTCCAAATCTAATGCGAGCGGGCGAAAAAAAACAACGCGGACCGAAAAAAACAAGGTTCCTACATTTTGAAATTTTGACTCAATCATTGCACAAATGGTTTTGATTCAGTGGGAACATCACATATACACAGCCAGCATCACATATCACTGCATCAAAGAAAGAAACAAAACAATAAACCAGAGCCTTTTCTTGTCTCCTCTTTTCATAGTTATCTGCCATCCATCTTCTGGCAGGGCAACAGACATCTTTGCCCATTTTCGGCATGTTGACCACTGTCACTGAACAATTTTTTTTCCCAAAATCAGGCGAAAATTAATGCGCGCTGATGTCATCCATAAAAATTACTTGCTGTGGCCTTAGTTGAACTAGTTTGGTTGTAACTGCAGTTCCGTTTCTCTCCGCAGGGTGACTCTGGCGGACCGCTGGTGTGTGAAGTAGAGGGTCGGTACGTGTTGATAGGCGTGGTGAGCTGGGGGTACGGGTGCGCACGCGCCAACACTCCCGGAATCTACGCTAAGGTGTCCGAATTTTCCGGCTGGATCAAAGACAAAATACACGAGGTGCAATAAGTACTGTTGTCGCTGTGTTTTACATGAATACAACCATAACGTTTGGTATGATAGGATAATACAAGGTCCTAGTATCAGGAATATAGCTGGGTACCGGATGTGCTTTATCAAACTGTGCGGTTTTTAACGTGTGTAATAAATTTAAAGAATTGATCTTACACTAAGGAACTTCGCCTACAAGCATAGAGCTAGTAATAAACTGGTGGCTTGATACAACTCTGAAAAGTAAGTTACTCAGGATTACATGTACAATACTGATTTGTTATGTAATAAGTTAGGTTATTGTTTTTATGTATCTATTAACATTATGTAAATGAAAAGAAAGGCCGATAGATAATCCTACAAACCGATCTTTTTTCATGCGATTCTAAAAAAAATGTATGACCACAGAATATCATCGACTAAATTGGTCTTAGGTTAGAGTTGCCTTCTGTACTACTTTATGTATAGTGAAATTGCATTGAAGGTGGAATAAATGATTTAAAAATACTAAGCAGTACATGAATGACAAAAACACTATAGAAAACACCATCTATAGAAAGAAGTTGAACAAAGTCACCATGCTTTGAAGGCTTGGAGGATAATTCTTGCGGAAACACAGACGCCCAACAAGAGAATATTGTTAGCATAGGGACATGGAGTACCATTCTTTGAATGCCGTCTTGTTCAAAAGACATATACAAACTTAAGGCTTTGACGATAGGGAAACTCTTTAATATATGTGTTATCAATATCTCATTAAATATCTGATTGAATAAAAAAATAACAGGAGTACAGCAATTACGTATCTCTTCAATACAATTCAATACGTCATCACAGAATTATGCAAGAGCAACAATAACTTGCCCAACCGTGTGCCTGGTGAGGGCTCTATCATTAGATTTGTAGTACCCGCTATACATAATTCATGTACATTGTATTGTATATAGACACTGCATCATTGGACAAATCTACCGGGGATTCATAGATTTTACATCCAAAAGTCTTCTATAAAAAATCTTTCTTTACAAAATAGTGGATTATTGACATTGTGTGAGTTTCTGCGCTATTTTCTTTCTTTTCTAGTGTTGAAAAACTACCCCGCGTGCCCTTGTCGACAAAAGGTCTCTAACATAACAGAACGTGCGGAACAAGTTCTTGTACAGGTTTAACATTACTCAACAATCGTTTTCCATTAAGACCAAGTACTTAACCAAGTTTCGTGACTACGAATTGATAACAACAGATCTGTGGCCCTAACTGTTAAAAGGCTCAACGTTCAAGGGTGCCACTGGCACTGGATATGTTTGCCCAGAGGGATTTCACTGCACTCAGCGTTGTTCCATGCGTTTTTTTTTTATTCCAACATGTAATCACCAGACGTGGTGACGACACACTCAAGTTTTTTTCTTATATTAATGCCGCCACCAACACAGGGGACAAATACATGACAGGACAATACTCATTTACACCTGAGCTAAGTGAGGAAAGTGTGTAAAGTGCCTTTCCCAAGGGCACAAGATCGGTGGCATGTCAGGACTCGAACCCGGGACTCTTAGTTCCGAGACGCGCACTCTGCCGCTACGCCACACGACCCCACCGTGTCCATTCGTTGATGTGTACATGGGAGGAAGTGTACCGTAAAGTTTGCTGCGACTAGGGACACGTTAATACGTACTAATCTGTATCTTCGAAACTGACTGATTTAATAGAAAACTTTATGCCAATGGAATTTTCGCAAAACGTCCCGGCAGCATCTTATGTTGACACAGACGAGGATTCGGTCGGCCGACTGGACTAAATTCCTTCCTTACGGGAGAGTTGGTATTTAACAAAAGACGGTAAACATGGGCTCTTGGCGTATTCCGTAGCGGTTCACCTATTGTCGATGTCCCTATAATACGGGCCGCACCTTCCAGCTTAGAGGCTCTTTTGTGGTCTTTCAGTGCACTGTCAAGTTCGCTTTATTTCACGCCATTCCTATGAGATGACAAAGAAAGATATGCTTATAAATATCGGATAAAGCGAATTGGAGGGAGAGGGTCTGGGACCCCCGACCTGATGATGATGATAAATATCTGCATTGTGATATTATATATAATGGTCAACCTGCCATTAGGAATAACGAATTGTGATTCGAAACCCAAGAACCCACAAGAGAGCCCGTCCATTCAATGTCAGCAGCAAAGTTAAGGTGATTCAGTGTGAGTTACCCGTCGAGTGCCCGCGTGTTTGGAGAGTGTACAGTGGCGAGAGCTTACGTGGTTCACTCTGGCAGACGACCCATCACTTCTCTCACTTCAACAGTACCTCACTACCGCAAAACAGACCGACTACCGCCCACTTTACACAGTTTCCTGGCGGAAACGGTTGCAGATGGCCTATTGTTGTATCTGTGCTGAAATACGCCGGGAAAATACGTTTCTTTGTACCTCAGAGGGTTGAGATACAGGTGAGTATACGGATGTGCCCATTCAATGACATTATATAAACTCCTTAGTCAATACGATTAGTATAATCATGATATTCATAGCCGTACAGGTGCAATCAAACTTCAGAATTTACCTCTTTCATAGGACGGCATCTGTACATGTATTACATTATTTTGTGACCATACATGTATGTATACGTAGGGCGTATCTCTCTCTTCGTCTCTTTCGCCAATGACTGTGACTTGTATTTCTCCCCGAAGCTTGCCAACCCTGGAAACTACCATGACTTGCTAGTAAACGAGAACAGATGCTGCGGTGTGTAATGTTGTGTACGTCACACATGTTAGAGGCAGGTATGTGCGGGATGTACCGCAAGCCCACCTGTAACAATGGGCCCCGTGTGCGGCCGCCCCTGCGTTTATTTTCGCACAGGAACTTCCCCTCGCAAATCGCACAGAAACAGCTCACTAGTGTGTACTTGTCATCCAAGAAAAGTGCCTCCTTCCGCACAATCCACATTCATTTCGTGCCCCCGGTCCATATGATCATGTGGTTCTCTAGGTAACCTCTAACACTTGTAATATTTAGGCACGGGTAACAAAACAAACAAGGCCAAAAGGCATGGACACTGACGCATGGACAGACCCAGGGCTTTAGCCAGCGCCCGTTTTACCGTCAATTGACGGTAATTTGTCCCGTGTGACGGTAAAAATTTTAGTCCTTACCGTCAACATTGACGGTCGAAAATCGTGGGTAAAGACATAGAAAAAATCTAGCGAATTTGAATGAGCCACGGCGCGGCGTCTTTTCCAAACGCACGGCGGCGGGAAACCTGATTTCAAGGACCGTGCCGACTCAGACACACGTCGCTGCTAACTGTACATGACAATACGATAAATAAACATGTGACAACGAACAAAGAAAAATCAAACGTTTTGAAAATATACTGTACTTGAATAATCATACTATCGCAAGAAAACGGAGATTGATCCACACAATGTGGCCTTATTTAATCTAAAACTTTGTCAGACCTCCTTCGCGCGAAGACTTGAGCGGCAGCATAAAGATTTCTGGAAGATCGCTGACACGCGAGTTTTTGCCGGCCACGTAACTCCCTCCGCGGCAAAATCCCCTATGCCGTAGCGAAATCGCGTCTCAGCGCTTCCCCAAGTCAACTTCATGGCCGCTAAAGTCCGCAAAGGAGCTGTAACTTCCTCATTTCGGTTTAGAAGCGAAGATGACAAGTAAAATCATGTACATGTCGGCCATTTTGTTTGCTACCCGAAGTCTTCCGAACGCTCTAAATAAGGAAATCGTCGGAGATCTGAGCCACATCGTCCGCTGTCGGTCAGCGCTCGGGGCGGCTCGGTGGAAATCGGAGGCTGTGACGTCATGACTGGCTGGCTGACTGGGGGAAGCCGCTGCGGCTTGAATCGCGGCGGGATTTGAGCGGATCAAAACAAAGGGAATAGTGGATTGTTCATTGCGTGTTGTCTCCTTGTGAGAACTCTAGATTATTTTCATTCTGCAAAATTGCAGATTGTGTAGGTTTTTTTTATTCTGCAATCTTGACGGGTATTTAGAACACCGAATGCATTAAGTGTGCGGGAGGGCGTGATGTCGATCACCGGCTCGTGAAAGACATTCTTTAAAAGTAATCATTGACGGAATTTTTTTTCGCGTTGACGGTATTTTTTTTCGCGAATTGGGTTGACCTGGGGTTGACGGTAAAAAATTTCGAGCTGGCTAAAGCCCTGGACAGACCACACCAGGATTTGGCAAAATAGACAAGTACCATACGCGAGGGAGCTATTTATCTCAAAGACCAGATGTTCAAGAATTGCGACAGTCGGTCAAGTTCTACGGTCTAAGATTACTTGAATACTTTCCAAACCCTCTCATTTTATTTATTTTTTATTGCAACCCAAATACGTAATTGGCACGTACATGCACTCTCAAAGAAACTTTAACGTAAAACAAAAGTCGGGTCTTAAGTTGTAACGTAAATTGACATGTTTTTGTGGTCCAACATCAGCCATATGTGTTGGGAAGGATTTCATACCCCTCCACGGACAATTGTGGACCAGCCCCTACCTGAATCCCGTGGACATGGTTGAGGGACATGCTTATCCCGTAGCATTACGTTATGGTTGTGTGAGTGCACACAGGATCGTCTACAGACGGCATACAAACAACACACGACGCGGCCACGTTCGTCGTACGATTTCCTTTGGATGTAAGATTTTTACAGAACCGACCGCCAAAAGAGGATAGATCCTACGATTCCTAGTATCATCCTACGGCAACTTTTTCCGTCGTAAGACAGCAAAATTTTGCACGCGCACATCCACGACCAATTGCAAAGCTATCCTCGATCACTAGCCTCATATGTACCACGAATGTGGGACCTCCATCCAAATTGTACGGAAGATTCCGCGGTTCAAACAGTTGAAGATCTCACCACCTAAAAAAATGCGTCTAGCATATTTGTTATGAGGTGATGTTTCACCTGTATTTATTGCAATGTTACGGTCCGGCGCATTTCTTCGAACACGTGCTCATGAAAGCCACTAATATCTCCACACCCCGACTGAATCGACCTTTTTCCTTCTTTCCCCGGTAAGTGAAAGCAAACAAAAGTTGTCTTCCTGCCCTTACACGTGAAAACAAGTGTGGCAGACAAAGCCGCTTTCCGACAGGGGGAGTCGCATTGTTCACGAGTCAGCTGACCGCATTTCAAAAATTAATCATACCTTGTTGTCGGACAGAAGAGCAAAAACCGGTCGAGCAGCTTCGGGCTTCAGACACAGAACAGGTAGTCTGGTCACGGTAGTCTAGTCCTTTGTTGTTTGTACTTAAAACTGGACAGTGTTGAACAACACTGACTACATCAGACTGGACGTCAGCACAGTGCATCCAATATTTGCAGAGACACAGTAAGTTACGACGAGCTTCCTGCCATTCCCATGCATGATAGACCACCGTATGTGTTACCAAGAACATAATATAGCATGTACCATTGTAACATAACCCGTGTTCAAGTGATATTCAGCCCTATGTTGAAGTTTGTAGAATTTGCTTTTAGTTCAACGATGTAACACTTTGAGCTATATATACTGGGTCTTCCTGTGAAAATGGTTTTAGTCGAGTAGTACCCTAGCTAAGGACCCCTCCCCACCAAACTATGTTTGTAAACAATAACCATACAATGCTCATGATAATTCATTGTAGTAGTACGGGCGTGTTTTAAGCGTTGGCTTTAGACAAAGTGTGGCACAGAAGTCTGATGGCGTTACACTGAAAACCACAGAATATTTCTTCCGTTCTGGGACATGCGATGTAACTGAACCGTCCCATTTGTTGATTACAGTGTTAGATGAGGTCATCGATCACGTTTTACAGGTGTTACTCTGGTCACGAGTTCTGTTCCCTGTCACTCGTTCCCAGGAGTACATATATTTTCTCACGTTGCTCACGTTTTGTGTCTTCAATACCCCCCCCCCCCGTGCCAGTGTGTGATTATAAGCTGTGTAGGCCAAAAGCAAAGCTATGGTGGCTATATTTGTGGGACCATTCATTTTGTATGGTGGAGTGGTGTGACCATAGATAGACATATACACTCAGGTAGAACCAAGCTGACTGAGGTACAATGAAAAAATCTGAAGCTATTAAAGAGGAAGACGAAAATGTTTATGTAAAGTAATACTAGTTAGCTGGAAAAAGTTGTTTTTTTTTGGCACTCATTGCTGATTGTCGAACAAAGTTACTACAATATAGGGAGGCCTGTATGCACTTCTCCAAAGGTGCAGGAAATCTATTTTAATTTCCCGTAATTCATAAGAAAAGCAAATCAATTTATATACTAGTAACTTAAAGCGACACAACCAATTCTGCATAGTCTTCCTGAATTTAGCGTGATATGTAGAATGAAAAGCATAATCGTCAACACAACCTCGATTCTGACTTCCCCATTCAGACCCTCCCAGCCTTGTCTGTGTGCAGGCCTTGTCTCCTATCACTGTGAAACTTGGTTTGGGAGAACAACTTGTAAAGGTGTCAATACACCTGTTTTGTCCTCCCTTCCACTTGTATGTTTGTACTTGTGGTGAATTCTAAGGCCACACCAATATAATTTGTTGTTTCTTGGATTTTTCAGAAAAAATATGAAGCGACAGGGCGAAAAAAAAAAAACAGGCCAAGGCACTCCATGATAGCCGGAAATGTTACAATATGAGCCATGAAGTGAACATACCAGGCTGGTTTATGCTTAAAACAATAGATTTTGAAGTTTTGATAAAACAAAATTGCATTGTTACATTGAGAAACTTTAAGAACTAGGAAGAAAAAGACTTTCTCTGGCCGTGGGGGCCAAAATATGTCTTTCATTTTGCAGTTAATTTAGAAGCCAAAAATTTTTTTTTTTTTTTTTGCAAATCAGAAAAAAATGGACAGGGTGATTCGAGAAGCAACAAATTAAATTAGTGTGGCCTAATAAATAAATCAACTTTTCTGTGTTTGCCCTTCTACAGGAGAACTGACAGAACAACATGGCCGTCCCCAGCTTCGGGATGCAGACTGAGCTGTTCCAGTCTGTTCCCTTCCCCCCTGTGGTGCTGTGGTTGGTGGTCAGCACACTCCTGGCCGGAATCGTCATATCCGTCTGTCGGAGAAGGTCCTCCAGGACTCCGTGTTCTCAGACGTTGTGCTGTAACGGTACATCAGTGAAAATTCCCACTGACTCCTGCCACACTGTGGAACTCTCTGGGACTGAGTGCATACTGAAGATCGGTGAAGACAAGTGTTTTGAGCAGACAATCAACGTTGCATGCGACTGCCAATGTTGTGCTTCTGACGTCCAATTTGCCACATGCACGGACAGAGTCTTGCGAACCGTTCCGCTAGGTTTGGGTCGTTACAGAGAACTGTTATGCACGCTGATCTTCATGTTACTGTGCGAGGTAACATTCCATCTACTCTGGAGAGAAGACGCTCTGGTAGGCATGGCAGCGGTCAAGTTTGTGCAGTTCATGACGGTCGTGCTAGGGGTCCTCTTTGCGCACATCTCCTTGGTGGACACGGCAGAGGGACTGATGCGCCTGGAGTTGGGACTGAGGATTATCATTCAGAACAAGCTGGCATGTTTGGAGACCTACTTGGCTCTGGAATGTATCATGCTGTACGGACAGATTGCTGAGGTGATATTTGAGGTCTCGGAAAATACCCTTTTCGGTATCATAGTGATTTACATATGTCTATACTCCTCGGCGACTGGCGTGGTGAAGCAAATTTGTCTAAACAATCTCTTCAAGTTCACGATCGCCACACAGATACCGATCATCGTCTTTTTAACACAACTGATCGTGTCTGTACCGCTGAACACAGTATTCCTTATCATTGCTTGCTTGTGGTTGATGCTGTCTGTCACCCTGTTTGTTACCAGGATTATTTCAGCCTTCAGGCATGTTGATGACCTTCACTTGCAGGTACAGAAGGAATCACTAGAGGGGGTTTCTGTCAAAGCATGACTTGAACTACAAGGATAAACTACATGGATTTTCAGAACGTTAACATTTTGTGCCCCTTGGTCACTTTTGGATGCTGCAGTTTACTGCATCTTACTACTCTGTTTTACTTTTTTACTTTCAATGTACTTTTAGATGTTTTTGTTAAGAGGTTAATTCACAAGAAATAGTTTATGTTGCTGCTAATGCTTTAACTTTTCTGATGTACATGTAGGGTACAATTGAATTTTTATATGAATTATTTCAGTTATAAACAGCTTATATTTATCAGCCTATGGACTGTGTACACAAATTTAATGTTGAATTCATAATACAAAACAATAGAATACAAATAAATACAAATACTTGGAATATAATTGACCTTATGATGTCTTCATTAGAACTATGTTGAAAAGCAATTTTACACTGTAAAATATTTATTTAACAGTGACTCTTTAACATTCACTTGAGTCTGTAAGTTAGATATTCAAGTAAAATCAAGACACAGAAAAACAGTGGGGCATCAACAATAGTTCATATCATTTTTGGACAAAAATTCAATAGACGTTAATATGATATTCTTCCTGGTCATTCTTACAATCAGCAGTCTTAGAAACATATCTATCACCCCTAAAAACGTAAGTGAATCGGTCCTCTTCTGCAAGGAGACTGTGGTATTTGGATCATAGAACTCTGTCATGGGGGGGTATCAGTGATAACATTCTTCGATGTAGATAAACGTAATTTGGCAGGACAGACCATGTACACTTGCACAAGAACAATAACCATGGGAACTGTGTACAGCATAGGAACTGTAGATTCAACTCAGCTGTCCATTGGGAAAAGGTAGTTTTCCGTGAAAGGCTACATCAACTGAGCAGCAAACCGTTCTGAAGAACAGGTCAAATGTTCGTATTCAAACCATGGCTAGTAACAGACTACAACCTACACAAATTTTACTGCAAAAACAAGACTTGAGTGGAAAAAGCCAGAACCATACACAGAATGTCAGTTTCAAACCTGTACTATAAGAGGGCACGGTAAAAAAAAACTGACAAGGTTTTCAAAATAGAAAACCAATAAACTTATTTTTTTTCAACACATCCCAAATTGATGCACATAGCTTTTGTACATCATAGAAACCATAACTTGCCTTGAATGTAAAACTACACACACTACCAACTTTTTTTCAATAGATGCCTCTATTGCACTTATGCTACAAGATTGTGTTGTTCTTCTACATATAACTTAAAACGGGTACTGAAAACGTGATGGCACATATAATACAGTTGTATGTACTAAACACAGTATCATGTTTCCCCATAGGGGACTTTCTCGGGTACTATAAAAACTTTGCTTTAGTTTTTTTTCTTAAAGATTTGTGGAAGGAGGCAATGGTAGCAGTTCGTTGCTGGCAGTTTGACTCTTGTGTTTTTTGTTTTGTTGTTGTTGTTGACTGTGTACCTTGAATGCGCAGACAGGGACCGTGCTCGTCTCGTAATGTGGTGTCGTCTTCACTTTTACCGGACAATGGGGTGTTGTTGTCTTCACTTTTCCTGGAGGAAGAGGGTCTCTTGGGGGTTCATGCCAAGCTGTTGGAGTGTCTGTGTGGTGTTCAGTGATGTCAGCTGCCAGAAACAGAGTCAATATCAATAAAGGTAGATATTCTGTATGGAACTGTCTCCTACAAATCAGTGATAGAAATACCTTTATTGCAGTGTTCTGCAATATTGTGCAACGTCAAAATTTTGTTCTGCAATTCGGGAAATTCTTTCTGCAAATATACACTTAAAAGTCTGGATCTAAACCCCTGGCATATACAAAATTACCATGTTGGCGAACATTTGCATTCAATTTGAAAAATACAATCATGTAAAATCACTTGTATACTATAGAGTCAGGTTGCTTAGTTCTTCTTCTGCAAGAAAATGTCTCTGCAAAATGCAGACTGCAGATGGGTATTTCTAGCACTGTAGAAAATATCACCAAAAGACAATTATTCCAATAGAGATAGTTTGACTTACATCTCGTTTTGGCCATGATGACAGCAGCTTGTACTCCTTGGAAGGGAACCCCTTGGAGTGGACGTAGTTCAGCACGACTTGCAGCGTGGTGGCAGCCAGAAACCTTCTCTGTAGCATCTCCCCGTCCGGCAGCCTGACCCGGAGGTTGATGAGCGGTTCTGTACAGTCCTCTGGTGGCTCGTCTGGTAGGGTGTCTTCTAGTGACGCTCTCAAGGCCTGGGCAGGGTTCACAAGGAAATGTACAGACTTCTGTGAAGCAGGGTTGGACAAGTTTTCAAAAATCCACCTGCCCTATTGGGCAAGCACATGGTCATTTCTACTTACCCGAACCAACTTTCCACTTGCCCAATGCAAAATATAAATGACATATTTCATGCATTTTCACCACAAGGAATTTTTTAGGGTGTCTTCTAGTGATGCTCTCAAGGCCTGGGCAGGGTTCACAAGGAAATGAACAGACTTTTCTGTGATGCATTTTGAGTTTATGCCACATACACCCACATTATAATCCACCATAGCCAAACTGAATGCTTAACCTTCTGGTAATAACTACAGGCACACTGAAGACAAATCCTCCATATATGGAGGTAAGTTAGCATAACTAGCAGTTGAAGTCAGTCACATATTAACTCTTTGGTTTCTACAGACACACTGAAAATAAGTCCTTCATACATGGAAGTAAGCAAACATGTAACTAGCAGTTGAAATCAGTTAGGTATTACTAGTAACTCTTTTGTATGTGTAGAAGGAACATTGTTAGCCAAATGAACATGAAGTCCCCACTGACTTCTCTCTCCTCCTTGGCTTCCCGAGCTTCTCTCTGTGCCCTCTCCTGCTCCTCCTTCTCCTCCTGTTCTTTCCTCCTCTTCTCCTCCTCCTGGTACAGGGGAAAAAGAGGGGTTGGAGATATTGTTCTTAATAAACTTTGAGTACTATTAATAAGTATTATTTTAGTGTCAAGTATCATAGTAGCGCACGTAGTCCAGTGGTTAGCGATCCTGCCTCTGGACTTAAGAGGTTGGGAGTTCGAATCCCGGCTGATGTCGCTCACCCGACATGCACGCTCTGTTTAGGGTCGCAGTCCTTCGGACGGAACGTTAACCATGGTCCACTGTTCATTGTGCTTGTCGATAAAAGCTGGGGGAATTTCCCCGGTACAATGAACCTGTAAATACTGTACATAGCGTCTGTCTTCTCTGTCACGACCAGTGGAAGATTAGCTCTTCAATGAGCTAAACTGGTTCGAGACCACTTTCTTTCTTTCTATTTGACTTTTCATGATGACTTGTAAATGTTTTTAGGTTAAATATGTGTACCCTCCTACAAAGATAACAAGAGTTCCGAGATCTCATACCTCCATGAAATATGGGCTTGCTTTGTCCTCATTAATTATGCAAATAACCTCTACATAAATATAATATATGCATAGCGATGCAAACCTTTGAGAAACTTACACATGTTATGAGGTATAAAATTCCCATCATTCACCAATAAGGATTCACAGAATTTTCACATTAATTATGCAAATTAGGTCGTCATTTGCATAATTGGTATCTGTTGATGTTCCGCCTGCCACAGATTAAATAGATTACATGTATAGCAGTACCATTATATGAAACACTGTAATTATAGAATTTCCTCATTAATTATGCAAATTAGTCCTCATTTGCATAATTTGCATTTAATCATGTACAACTGTCTCTCAGGTACCTACACACCAAAAATGATGAAAATACGTTGTTCCAATCTGGACTTATTGGCTTTGAAAGTTTTTACCTGAAACTAACCTGCAGTTCCAGAACAAGCTGCTAGGGGCACCAAACTTACGCCACTTATTCCTGACAGGATAAGCTATCTGTCACCAAAAAGTCAAGACCATAGCTTGTTCAGGACAAAAGATACAAAAACCGGAAGTTCTGCTGCAGTACCAAGGTCATCCACCAGGAGGCCCATACTTGACCTTGACCTTTGTCTTTCCAAGACTTACCATCATACCAAATATCATCACATTCCATAAAGGCGTTCTGAAGTTATGCTGACTACAAAGTTTCGGAAACACACACAGACACACACACACACAGACAGACAGACACACACACAGACATACATACAGACAGACACGCCAAAGAAAATACCTCCATTTTTCATGGAGGTAACAATTTACCCCTAAAACCTAAAAAGACAGTTAGCTACATGTATTAACTTACAGATGATAGGTCAGACATGTTTAGGTACACAGGTCACTAACGGCAGTAAACACTGATGAAGAAAATCCTGCACCAGTGAGTCTGTACCTTAGCTCTATCAGCTGCCAGTGAAACTTGATACGCCTCGTCCTGTTCTCTCTTCATCCTTTCTCGTTCTTCTCTCTCTGCCTGAGGGAACAAATGAGACATCTCACAAAAAGGAACGAGCAACAGGACTTAGGCCTAGGAAAAAAAAGTTCCCTGTTTCCCGACTGACCCCAGAAAAACTGCCAACCCTAGCCTTTTTTGTGGACCCCTGCATCTGACATAAATTTTTGAAGCTGATCAACCTTTTCTAGCTCCATGATTTGACACCTGAGTGATAAAGTGTCGTACAATCAGTTTTCCAACATTGACATTGAAACTATAATTGTTCTCATGCAAGTTTTACTTTGTTATACACTGTACTGTATTGTATAAGTTGGATCACTAGAGATTGTCAAAGTTTAATAAAAAAAAGAAAGAACAAGGATAACCCCTTCCTACAGACCCTCATTTTTTTCAGGACTGAAACAGGAAACACATTTTTTTCCTTGGCATTATGCTCAAGAAAAGGACCAATTGTTGATCAAATATCCTACAGAAGCCAGGGTTTCACACAGGTGTAGTACGTTCTGACAATATGCTTAATACAAAAGAAATGTGAAAAGCTGGACAATCCCATACTTCTTCCTGCATCTCCACCCTCTGGTTTTCTGTGAACACGTCCACAGCGTTGATCAGTGTGCTCATCAGCTCATCTACCGTGTTGTTACCTGTCCATAGAAACAAGAGGAACTTTACATACACGGTAATATATAGTAGGCATCCTTCCATCTCAGGAGATGATGGCAGCACACTAAGTCTGGTATAAGTATGGCATACATAACCCCATACACATAACAGGAACTAATCCCACGCTGAAATGTAGATTATCAATATGGTTTGAGTATTAAGAAATAATTTCCAACACTACCGGTAAATACAATGGGGACTTACCCCAAATTTTCGGTTGACAATGTCAACCTTGTTCACAAAATGGACCTGTCTACTCTTGGAATGTGACATCAGAGACACATGACCGTAGTAGCGGGTCATACGTGCCAGATAACTTGTGTCACCCCCTGTCTCTGTTCAGGGTAGGTCTGTGAGCTCTTATGTAGACTGCCTCCTTCACTCCTCTTGCAAGTTATCTGGCACGTATGACCTGCTACTACGGTCACATGTCTCTGATGTCACGTTCCAAGAGTAGACGGGTCCATTTCGTCAGGAAGGTTGACAGAGTGAACCAAAAATTTGGGGTAAGTCCTAATTCATTGTAGTTAGTGTTGGAAGCTGAAGACTAGTCTTTATTTCAAAATGACGTGTACATGTACCAAGACAGATGAACTTTCATGCTAAGATGGTTTGAGGAATTATTGACTTTCACATTTTAGATAAATTTTAGTGTGTGTGTGTGTGTGTGTGTACATGTACAAAATGTATACAGTATGTGTATGTCTGTGTGTATGTATGTATGTGTTTGTTTGCGGCGTGTGTTTGTGTGTATGTGTTTGTTTGCGGTGTGTGTTTGTGTGTATGTGTTTGTTTGAGTTGTGTGTGTGTGTCTGTGTGTGTGTTTGTGTTTGTTTGTTTCAGGTGTTTGTGTGTATGTTTGCTTGTGTGGCTCACCATGTACGACCTTTAGGACCTCGCTGGCCCCCCTGTTCCTCATGACCAGCATCAGTAGCGGGTACTCGTCTGCCTTGTAGTTCCTCACCGTCTGGGCCGCCAAACTGCCGTACTGACGCGAGATGTGGCCTAAAAACCTACACAAACAAAAGGGTCGTGAGCGGTAAAACCTATAAAAGGGGTGCATGTGTAACGGAAATGAAAAGAAAGCTACATTGGGTGTCACTAGAAGACAGACGAAAAATGTCTATGCATGATGTAAAAAATGACTAATAAATTGGTGGACGTATAGCTACTAAGTACCTGATACCAGCTCAGAAAAGAAAAAGAAATAGCCATGGCTTTGCCTTCAAGTACCAGATTTTTCAACCAAGGACTGAAGTATTCAAAAACTCATTCTTTCCTGAAACTATCGCAGAGTGGAACTCCCTGTCACCAAGTACAGTAGGGGCATTATCATTAGATAGCTTTAAATGATGTTTAGAGTTAGATGTTCAAAGGATAGGTGTACGAAGCCATTTTGTGGCAATTATACTGGCTATACAGATACAGATACAGGAAACTAAACTCCTACATAATATATCAATTTTATAGGATCTATACTGTCTATCTTGAAATGTTCGGAGTAGTTTTATTTTTGAGGCTTTTGAGGCCATGACCTGCAAATGACAACACTGCAAATATGCATTTCTATTGTGTGAATTGCAATTGAATACTACAAAACTGTTTCAACCGCATACTTAAAATGCAGCGAAAACCACCTTTTCCCTACTAGCACAAAAAAATGAATTTGCAGTGTCTTAACCCATTGTTATTAGGAGAAGGTGTGGTGGTAGCTGCACATGGTGTCCTACAGTCTCAAGCAGCCTGGTTTGACTTTTTCATGCATACAGTAAACAAAGGCTGAAACAAACAAGTGGGGAGTGCCTACCTTGCTTTGTTACTATCAAAAGTCATGTCCCAGGCAAAGATAAGGTAGTGTTGGGACATGTAGGACACAATGCTCTCCCTACAGAGCACCTGGGAACAGAAGATGTTACTCTGTACACTCTGGTCATGGTGCAGGTACAGGGCTAACAGCTTTCTCTGAGAGGGAAAACAACAACAGTGATAAGTGTAGTACATTGTACATGTAAGTACAAAAATGCAATCAAAATGATTTCAAGAAACATTCTGGTAGAGAATGTAGGCTTCTACATATTTATCATGGCACCGTTGGCTACTTTTTTAACAAAAACATAATGATTCTGAGGGCACTGTTTCTTGCAGCACAACAAAAAGTATATCTGCAATACAAACATCAACAGATAGGTGGCACTGCTATACAGTTAATCCTTGAGGCAGCACATCTATCTTTTAAGGTCTCATTCATGTATTACTCCGAGTGTACCCCCTAAAAGAGTACCAAGTCAAAAACTAAACGGCTGTATGAACGAGTGTTTTTATTGGTGAGAATTTCCCCTTTAGCCATCCCAACTGATGTAAAACGTCAAAGCGGTGAAATCTTGTTTGTAACTGATGAAATTAGGACATAATTGTCGGCAGCCGCGCGTTAGGTCGGACGTGCACAGTCCAGTGTTGTGAGTTGTGCGGTCGTAGGTTTGCAGCGCGGGAGGGCCTCTTGCGGGCAGCCGCTAGTTGCAGTTTGTAATTCCCATAAAAGGGGATTGTGTGTATAGAAGTCGTTGTCAATTTTTTTATGAGACGTAGATTAAGTGTGCTCAACATAGCATGAAAGATATCAATTGATTTAATGTAGGATGATAGGGAACACGGTCTCGTAAGTCACTCATTAATGCATGGTTTCTAATGTATGGAAAAAACTCATGAATGAGACCTTAAACTGGGTGTAGCTGTACTGTACTTACATCCCTGGCAGGTTTCTGGAAGGCCTCTTTCATGGCATCTTCTAGGGAGCCTATGTAAAACATGGGGTGGCATTCGCCATACCTGTGGGAGGGGGGCACAGCAAAGACAGCTTTTTAAAACAACCTAAAACAGCTAAATGAATACAAAGTTAACATTTTTCAAAATTGTGAATGGAAACAGGTCCATAAAGTTTTTGAATTGAAAATCTCTACCTTTCTGTAAACTCTGCAGTAAAGTGAACAGATGCATTGTACTCATCATCGCAGTTGTCAGGAACTGGAGAACATAGGAGAAATCATGACATTAGTGTGCGGTGTGCATTCATTATAACACTGTTCTGAAACTACTAAAAGTACCAAAAGAAATATACAGAAATTTTATTCTTTAGTTGATAATGATGTCTCAAAGACCAAGAAATTATCCACTATTTTCTTACTTCTTAGGCCATGTTGATTTGATTATATGGATGACATCCACGCGCGCATGGATTTTCGGCCGTTTCCAAAAAAAAAGTTTTCAACCATACTGTAAATCGTACAAAACAGTTGCAAAATGAGCAAAAATATACCGTTAAGAAACAAGTTACCAAAAAATAAGTAAAAACTATACCAATGTCGTAGAATGCCAAAATCAAACGAAAAAAGACGAAATTGGAAGGAAATGAACTTGAAGATTAGATTATTCGCCAAACCATATTCTGTCCCATTTGTTCAACCCTCATGACCACGTAGATTTCATAATGAAAACAACTTTTTTTTTTTGCAAAACTTTTTTTTTATTCGCACGCGTGCATCAGTTTTGGGGCTCTCGGAGGATGTCATCCATATAATCAAATCAACATGGCCTTACAATGTATCTCAAGGATTATGCAAATAACTCCCATATTCATTGTTTTCAATTAATGGAAATATTTCAGTACTAATGCATCTTTACTAATACCATACAAAGATCACAAATGTTTTAGCCTATAACATGACCATCATCAAAGGTTTATTAATTTTTGTTAGGTCCAGGCTGCCATACTTACTAAGAGGCTGTGGTTTTCTGGTGACCACGTCTGTAAAACTCAAGTCATTGTCGTCTACAGTAAAAGAGTCGCTGGCATCCTCAAAATCTTCTGTACTGGACCCACTAGCATGACGTTGTCGCCTCTCTTCTTCTACCTGAAAAATGGAAGAATTTAAGTATGGCAGGGCTCAAAATACTGGGTGCATGTGCACCATAGTGCACCCAAAATTGGAGTGGTGCACCTAATTTTTTTCTGTGGGTGCACTGGTGCACCCAAATATTTTTGTAGGAATTTTTAACATTAGAAATGTATAATAGTATACCGGATATTCTCAGTCTCTAAGTATCAGAAAAATAACAAAATCTTTGTTGTAGTAATGTTTAAGATTTTGAAGTTAGCTCTCATTTTAGATTCAAGCTCAGAAGAGGAGCAGTAAGACCTGCAATTAGGTTTTGTTTCATATGGTGCACCCAAAAAAATTTTTGTGCACCTAATTTTTTGGGTGCACCAGTGCACCTATTCCCAAAAATGAATTTCGAGCCCTGTATTGTAAGTTGATTTAAAGTCAGTGTGACTTCATTTCTAACCATTAGATAAAACAGAATGTTTGTACTGTTTTTAACTCTGAAAAAGACGTTACTGTATTACGGTAGTAAGACAATGCAGACAGAGTTTGCAGAGTGGTGTGTTCAACGAAAATATTTCACCATTTATAATAGCGAGAAAAAGTTATATAAACAAGACATGTCACTCATAATGACAGCTATTCTTACAAAATCAAAGAGGAGGAAATCAGAGAAAAAAGAATATTGCAAAAACATTACTTGAGAAAAAAGAAGACAGCAAAAACTGTTGACCTAAAACATTGTTTCGTTTTCACATTTTACAACGTTTTACAACCATTGTTTTGTTTTGTTTGTTTGTTTGTTTGTTTGTTTATTTATGTACGTACCCCTGAACTGAACCTGACTGGTATGTGTTGTCTCCACACCTCCAGGTCATGGGAGGGGTGAGAAATCCCACAGCCTGCCAATGTCATCTGTAGGGGAGGGGGGAGGGGGGCAGAACAACATGTAAGCACTGGGATTCTTCTCACAGGTATCAATCAATCAATCAATCAGTCGATCAATCAACCAATCGATCAATCAATCAATCAATCAATCAATCAATCAATCAATCAAATTGTTTATTGTTCAATTGACTTTGCAGCACTACTTGCATGTAGGCTGAATTGTGCCCATAGTTACATGTATGTACCCTTTTGTACCCAGGTATCAATATTCAGTACAACTACAGTTCTTTCTAAATTTCTTTGTGAGAAAACGATGGAAAGTTAAAATGCCAAATTAGCCAGGGAGGACACCTTAAGAAGTGTCTGCCCAGCTGTATTTCAGATCCCTGTTACCATGGTAACAGACCAGGCCATGTAATTCCTATTCTCCTGAGGATTAGTGTGAAATCCAGGAATTATGACATAACACCTGGGCCTTGTGCCAGAAAGTCAGTATACTGTGTTATTATCACACCTGGGACTTCTAGATGACATCCACTTCAATCTGTTGTATGCTGTTTTGTCTGTGTGTTTCTTTTATTTTTCTACAATCATGGCTAAGGCCTTACAGACTTATCTTTATGGATGACATCCTCTGAAGACCCTCAAACTAGTGCGCGCGGGCGAATAAAAAAAAATTCCGGCCAAAAATAAAAATGCTACTCAACTACAGGAATACAAAGCTGGTATTGTGAATTTGTGGCAGTACATATATGACAAGCCGGCACATGCTGGCTTTTTGCGGAATTTATGAATTGGCACTGTAGGTATGTACTGAATTCTTGTGGTGTGGCCTAAGTACAATAGTTGGTGTTTAGCCAATGAAAATTAATTGTAATTAAAAGAACTGAGCAGTTTATTAAGATTACCTGAAACAGATCTGATATCTAATATTGTATTATACATCATTTATTTTTGTAAAAGGGAAGGCTCATAAAAGAGGTAGCCTATGTTATGCAATATCTTGCAGTTATGAGCATGTCGGCAGAACGTACTGCGCCTGCCCAGAACCCCGTATTTTCGCGTTTTTCGTTGGGTTTTTGGTCAACATTGCATCAGACTTTTGCCTGTTGCAGAGGATATTCTTTCCAACATAACATTTGGAAACTACTGTCGAAATGCTAACCTTATATGAGCGAATACAACCTTATATGAGACATTCTGCCGAAGTGCTATGTACAATACATTACGGGTTTCGCGCAGGTGCAGTACGTTCTGCCGACGTGCTGCAGTTATGGGGGCACACCCAAGATTATTTGGCGTTTCTATTCGAAGCTGCACGCCCTCAAATCTAGCGACTGTCTCTGCCGTGGAATAATTCGAAAGGAGAATAACTGTATATGGGGCGAAAGGATATCTCTTCAGCTACAAGACCAGCTGAGTTTGGTTTCTTCAACCTTTTTAAGTTTGGTAAAATCAACGGAAAAAACATTATTTTCACTCCAAAATTTAAGCACAAAATTGCAAATTTTTGTGTAGGATAATCCCATAGAAAAAAATTTTCCGGAAGAAATGACTGATGCTGACAGAAAGACCCAAGCCTTGACTATACCCGAGTAAATTATTAAGTAAATTCTAGTGCTGAAATTTTTTTAACCGTCCACGGCGTGAGGGGTTGCAAATCCGCTCCTAGGAAAAAAATCTAGGTCAAACGGGTGGATTACACTTGGCGCGCAAGGATACCCTGGAGTAAGGTTCGGAGCCAAAATAAATTTTCACCCCAAAATCACCATTTCTTACACTCTTCAGCCATGTTAATGTTTAATGATATTTCGTGGTAGTTTATGAGAAATGTCACCTCAAACTAGGACCCTCAAAACCCTTTCTTCACTTTTTTTACCACGGACTACCACGGATCCCGGTCGCGGAAGAACTGGGGTGTGCACTGTTATGGGCTCACTGAGCCTCCTGCCCAATGGAAAGCTGCTATGACCGTAGTCAGGTTAATAGTGATAACTCACATCATCATCTTTAGCGTCCTGTGGCCATCCCTTCCATATCTGGTTGCGTACGGGGATATCTGTTAAACTGTACACGTCACATTTCACCTGCGAAAATAGAGAGCCAGGAAATATAAATTATATTAAACGATTCAACTTGTTCCAGTCATAGAACACGAGAAATGTATTAATATAACTTCTGGAGAACAAGCTTGGAAAAGCAAAACGTACGTATGATTTCTAAACAACATGTATGTTTGTCTCAGGACTGGAAATACTGGGTGCATGTGCACCTGTGCACCCAAATTTGGAGCTGTGCACCCAATTTTTTTCTATGTGGGTGCACCAGTGCACCGAAAATTTTTGTAGGTATTTTTGTACATATTGTATAATAGTATTAGAACAGGATTTTCTTGGCATCTAAGTGTGAGAAAATAATAAAATCTTTGTTGAAGCATGGAGGTAAAAAAATTTTTACCTCCATGGTTGAAGTACTTGTTTGAAATTTTTAAGTTAGCTCCCATTTCAGATTCAAGCTCAGAAGAGGAGCAGTAAGATCTCTAATTATGTTTTGTTTTATATGGTGCACCTAATTTTTTAAGGTTGGGTGCACCAGTGCACCTATTCCCAAAAATGAATTTCAAGCCCTGATGCTAGTAACACACATCGGAGTAAATCCAAGCAATCACTCAGTCTGCTTGACAAACGCTGACAGCACACACTGCAGTTGCCTTATGACAAGTCAACATTGGCAGGACAATCTTTTTTTTGCTACATATGTTAAGAGTATCAGTTAGTAAGTGGTTAGGCGGGCAAAATGCCTGTGAATAGAAACAATCATAACAATGTTCCTGAAAATGCAATGCATAAAACTGACAGTCCGACAATTGTAATTGTGACATGTTCTATATTTCCTAAAATATGGCTGGACATCACATATGCCTGGAATTTGGCTTAACAGGCTTGTAGTCTTTAATTTCCAAAACATTTTTATGAAATACATATTCTTAAAATTCACAAGAGTTTGCTCACAAGAGAATACACAGTGTTTGATGATGCAATCATTACAGGATATAGCAAATGTGATGATGTCACAGCACAGAAAGTGCTGACATCACTACACCAAAAGTGATGACATCACAGCTAGTGCTGAGTACCTAAAGGTACATTTAGGTTCAGGTCTGGATTCAAGGTCTGGAGGTTTAGGTTCAGTTCCAGACTCAAGTCCGGAGCTTAACCCATGGCATATACAATATTGCATGTTGGCAACCTTGCAATGTTGTCTGGGCAAAACTGCGGCCACATAACATGGAGGCCGGTACTTGACGATGCCCGATGGTAATGTTTTCTTCATTTTGCAGCACAGATCTTGCAATGTATGGAAGGTTTTAGGTGGTTGGAAAGAAAAGGGGTATGTGACATGTTTCGTTTTTTTTGTAATACCGGGTAAGTCCGGAATCAGTTCTTGACTTTTAGGTGTTTTTGGACTTGAATCTAAACATTTTTACAAGTCCGGAACCGGTCTAGCGAACCGGTACACAGCACTAATCACAGCTGCAGCAGTGTGCAGTACCTCACCTCTCGTATTGTTCTGGAGCCGGGGAAGCTGAGGGGGTAGCTAATGTCCCTGTCCCTGTCCCGCACGTTTAGTTTGAAGTCCATTCCTAATTTTGCCAGCACGTCACTGCAACAACACACCCCAAACCACGTCATGCACAAAATGTGTTAGAGCCAAGCACGTGGCAAAAACTGCCTGCCCATACTCTTGTTAGTAAGGCCTAGGATATGAAATGTTGTGTTTCTGGTTTCCCGACCAACAATACATGTAACATCTGTGTCCATAATATCACCAGGGTCCATAATATCGCCACCTTGAGAAATAGATATATATTTTTACTGCAACATACTTTTGGTATGCACTCCTGCACACCTCAAATGTACATACCTAGGGTATGTTGCAGTAAAAATATCTTTAAGCATACTATTTCTCAAGGTGGTGATAGTATGGACCCTGGTGATATTATGGACACAGATGTTAGCCTTTTTCTGGTTGACCATTGGCAAGACCATCAAATTCTTGTTCTGACATCTGAATTTCAAACTCAAGCATTATTTCATAAATTTCCAGAATCTAATAGTAAATCTGGTGAATCCCCACTAGCTAACTGAGGACAGGTCCTGGAAACAGTCCTGTTCATGATGCATGTCAGTATAACATTGTAAAATTTTATTTGTTTGATCAGTTTATCCAAAAGAAGGAAAGAAAAAGACAATCCTTTCGTACTGACCTATTTTTTTCAGGACTGTAACCAGACTGACCTTTTTTTCAGGACTGTAACCAGATACACAACATTTTTTCTCAAGGCCCCAGGCTCCTTTATATACAAGCATCACACTGCATTCCTCTTCACATCGCGTTCCTGCCTGTTTTTACCTGGTGGATGGTACGACTGCCAGGGAAATGAAGGTTGTACTCGATCCCCTTGTCTACATCTACCACATTTAGTACGAACTCTAGGAGCATCCTTTCAAGAGCAAGGCTGCTGCAAGAAGGGTACATGTAAAAATAACAAGTGACACAGGAGTATGCAATTGACTGGACGGTGAATGATTGAAAAAAAAAAGGTAACTAGAAAGGCCAATATTTGCTTTGGAGCAAATACAGCGATGGGTTCACCACATTTTACCACATGGCAGGGAAAGAATGAGAAACACAAGGGAAAACAATGATTTACATTGATATAACTATAATATGAAGTAACAACTAAAACAACAGTTGGATAGCTATTCCCTACTTTATTGGTTAGGATTTTTAATTGCATAATGCAAACTGTTGATTTTCAAAATAAAATAAAAAACGTTCATGCCCCGCATTCCAATGCTGGAGCAGAAAAGCTTGAAATACCTACCAAAACACTTGAATAAAGACATACTGTCAGTATGGAAATGCTCTGTGCAGGTGTTAATCAAGTTAAATCCCAACAGCCAATCAGCAAGAAATGCTCTGTGCAGGTGGAAATGCTCTGTGCGGGTGTTAATCAAGTTAAATCCCAACAGCCAATCAGCAAGAAGTATAGAGGAAAGCTGCATGCCTATTGGTTGATGCCCTGCATTCCATTGTGATGACTCATGCCCAGACGTGGTAAACACGCACACTAACACAGTAATACATTTGCTATAACACAGCCAAAAAACTCAAATAAAACCATTCTAAAAGCCTGTATCACAAAAATTTAAAAAAAGCCTAGGGGTATTTGCCCACTGTACCTCCATACCAAATTTCAGGACCTTAGGCCCTAAAATGAAGAAGCTGAATCCATTTAAAGATATGGCAGGAGGAGAAGGAGAAGGAGGAGAAGGAGGAGAAGAAACATCAGAAAAAGCAATATGGGTTCACCACCACTTCGTGGTGTGGTGAACCCATAAAAATAGCAGAGAAAACTGCAGTCAGAAGGTGCAAACCTTTAGCATATTTTAGAAATGTTTCTTTCCAAAATGATCAACTATAGCACATAAGCACAGAGTTAAAATCCTGGTCCCCGGTATGGATCTAGGTTTACCCTTAAAGATGGATATGCCAACTGTGCTTGCAACAAACACAAATTGAAGTTTTTTGTTATCCTTTGTTATCCTAGTTAACCAACAATCACATGTAATTACTAAATTAGAAAAAAACTGGTTAATACATTATCTAACATACTTTTAAGAGGCATTAAGGAGGCCATATATATCAGAGCACTTCAGCCTTCACGTAATAGAGATGGTGGACGATATAAACTCCCTGGCACTTTTGATCAATTGCTTATGTCACGTATCAGTACAGTCTCGTGTGAATAAGGTCACGTGTAACTCTCGCGAGATCATGTTGTGAAGTGATTGATCATTAGGCCACACCAAGTAAATTTTATGGATGACGTCCTTTGGAGACCCTAAATCTAATGCGAGAGGGTGAAAGAAAAACAAGTAGAGCCCTAAAAAACAAGATGCCTAGATTATAAATATCCGGTATACTATGAGACGACAAATGTTAGGACACGAATTGATTGAGGTGACACAGTGTAACAAGCAAGAAGTCTTTTATTCATCATTAAAACAGCAATAAATCAGGTGGAACCGTGGACAGTGAAAACAGGATGGTAATAGACATTTTCTTCTACGGGTTTCACGTCAATCTGACGACTTGCGGCACTGTCGTGACTCTTTGGTCATAGTTACAGGAAGCGGAATTTCTTGTTTTTTTTTCTAGAAACATGCCAATGTCAATGCGCGCGTGGACGCCATCCATAAAATTTACTTGGTGTGGCCTTAATTATCCTGATGAAGGCGACAGTGGTCGCTGAAAATTTGATCTCTGTAAATTGTGTGTTGGAATAAAGTTCAACGTTTTACATGTACTATCTAACATACCTATTGACCTGACAACACTTAAATAGATAATTAGTTGGCACAGCACATTTGCATACATTATATCAGGCACTGAAATCATAGCAACGGACGCTGGTCAACTCACCTTTCTCCATCCACTTCTTGAGACCCTGAAGCCACGGGGAGGTCAGGGGTCAGCAGAAAGAGCCGGTTCTCTCTTGGAAGATTCAAAGTAGAAAGGACAGCCTAAGGTGTGAGAAGAAGCAGCACTTAGGAAGTAGTACTTATTTTTTTGTACATGTATAAGTACATTAGATTATGTTACAGAAAAAAACAGACTTGGTTAAAATTGCACATATCCAACACAACACTCTTGCACATGATTCTGCACCCCCCTCATCTGATATGGTTTCTGCCAACCTGCATGATGGTGAAAACTCATCCTCATTGGTTAATCAGACTAACCTAATTAGACTCCTCCCAGTCTGGAGTAATTGCGACTTAGCCTTTGGGAACAGCTGATATTTGGAGTGCCAATTGGCCTCTCAACAATTACTTAGCGCAAATAAATCTAGCAAGGATCCGAGATTGAATTACCAGTGGACACAAAGAGCCTCTTTGTCTGTGTAAACTGAACAAGCTGTGAGAGAGACAGTTTAACACAGCTGAGATGTGGACTACTTGAGTTAGTGACTGTTTGGACAGGGGAAAGGGTTTTAAACTGCCAATGGACTAAATAATTGGGAGACTTGGCTACAAGCAACAAATTTGTCTGACTGTGAAAGGGTGTATCAAAATGGCTTAGACACTGCACATGCACTGTGCATTTGAGACCAAACACCTTTCTAATTCTATGTAACTGTTGACTTAAAGCATGAAAAGCAGTGTCATTTTTCTTACACTGCCAATAAGTCAGTTGTCTGAATTTCATAGAGGCTTCTAAAAAGTGTAGTGTCAGGTCAAGTCAAAGACTAAACCTGACAAGAATAACATGGGTCTGTGTTAAGGATATCTCAAACATGAAGTGACAGTGCATTACCGGTAGAAACAAGGTACATGTATATACTTAAAAAACAGTTACTCAAGTAACTGGATATGATTTTGGAAACAGTCATCCACTACCTTTCGTCAGTGACACTGAAGAGCTGTCAGAAAAGCAGGTTTAGAAGTACAAACTATTGATTGATATGCAAAGAAGTGAAGACAAATTTTTGAAAGTCCAATTTTAAAGGAAACAAATGTTGAACAGGTCAAGACAAGTATGATGCAAATTAGTCAAGTAGCTCCTGTTGTTTCAGAACAGGCGCTTAAATATTGTACCAAGTGAAAAAAAAGTGAAAGTGATCTCGATCCATTTTAGCTCATTGAAGAGCTAATCTTCCACTGGTCGTGACAGAGAAGACAGGCGCTATGTACAGTATTTACAGATTCATTGTACCAGTAAAATTCCCCTAGCTCTTTTCGACAAGCACAATGAACAGTGGACCACAGTTAACGTCCCGTCCGAAGGACTGCGACCCTAAACAGTAGCGTGCATGTCGGGTGAGCGACATCAGCCGGGATTCGAACTCCCAACCTCTTAGTCCAGAGGCAGGATCGCTCACCACTGGACTACGCACGCTACACCCACTGGACTACGCACGCTACACCAAATACCAATTCAAGTGCCTAAGAGTTCTACCTGTAGCCCCCCTCCCTGTTGAGGCTGGGGTTGTGCATCCAGTTGCTTGAGTAACTGTTTTTTGGCATATCTTATCACCTGGATGCCTAACCTTCACCGATGTATCAAGGCTTTTTACCCTACTACAGGGCTCAAAATTAAAGGTGGTCCAATGGCCACTGACCACTAAAATTTAGGCTTGGACAACTAAAAAGACACTTTGAGACATTTTTGGGACAATCGAAAAATAATCAGCATCAAAATGTCAGCTCTTCTTTTGTCTATCAGGCACATGTCCCGGCTTTTGGATCCGGAAAAGTCCCCCGAATTTCCCGTCTACTTTGCAATTATATTGCGCCTGGGAGTGAACATAAGCAAAATAAAGTTGACTTCAAGTTTAAGTCATACAATACTTTCCAAAAACAGGTTGGGACAGTTCATCCTCACTTCGGGACAATTGAAATTAATTTTTGGGACAGTGCTGGGACAAGTCAATAGGAAGAAAAGTTAATTTCGAGGCCTGCTACTATACTTACATCATCAGGTTCCTCCTGGCTGAACCCTCGCAGGTGCTGCTTGTCTGTGGGAATCCCCAGCTCTGCTTGTAGAACCTCCTTAATGTTACCTGTAGGGGAGACAGATTTGTTTGTTAGGCCACACCAATTTAATTTCTTGGTTAACGGATTCGCCGCTTCATTTTTTTCTGATTTGCAAATAAAAATAAAAATTCAGAATCAACTGCAAAATGCTCATCTTTTGCCCTGAACAGTTGATAACAGTCCTTTACATCCTAGTTGTTACAGTTATTCCATCTTTCAATGCAGTGGTATCAATAAAAGTTCAAAATTCATTGTTTAAATTTTGAACCAGCCTGGTGTGTTGACTTTATGGCTCCTATGGTACCATTTTGGGCCATAATAGGATGCCTAGGGCTGTTTTTATTTTTATTTATTTTTCGCCCGCCCGCTCCATTATTTTTCTAGAAAAATCCGTTAACCAAGAAATTAAATTGGTGTGGCCTTATGGCAATCACTCGTGGTCTTTATTTCCAATTGGATACAGATTCATGCACAGATACAGATACAGATTTTCTGAGTAGGATGACCGTGTCAGTCCCTACACCTGAGTGAGGGTCACAGTTGACACGGTGGCCTTCGCGTGGATTTGTTTAAGGTGGATAACAGGTTGCGAATCTGAGACCCACACACTTGGGCATCCGTATTCTCCAGCAGCAACATAGAGAGAGAGACGTGCTGGTTCTGTTTGGGATGCTTGCAGCGATCTGCCGGATGACTTGGTTACGCTCAAGGTCTGCCTTGATCACGACAGCCCGCCTGGCAATGCTCTCGTCCACCAACTGAGGACAACTGCCCACTCTACCCACTACACCACACGATGCCACAGGGGATACAGAACAGGGCTCAAATAACTCTGTCCTGTACACCGGCACTGGTGCAGGTAACATTGGAAATTACCTACACCAAACAAATTTTACCTACACCACACAGAATCTAGGAGGTATGGATCATATGAAAAGCATTATCTTTTTTTATACTTCATAGGTGGTAGCAGACAATGCAGCAAATAAAAATCTGCATGCACCTACACATACATAATGTATATATACTAGTAAACCTAGTACATGGGCCAGTGCAGGTTAGGTGCAGGTAGAAGAGAACACAACACCAATGCGGCTCCAATTTTACCTGCACCAAGGACATTATACTACACTAAGGTGCATATGCACCTAGTATTCTAAGCCCTACAAACAGAGTAAGGAGGGTGTGTCAAGGCAACTGTCTACAGATATCATATGGACGTTTGAACGAGAAGAATCCAGTGTCATTCCTGTCAAGGATACTTGGCCCTTATGCCTAAAGCTAGAAGAAAAGAACCAAAGGCCTTGACCCTTGTATTGTATGTAGACTAATGCACCCAAGGCTGTACATGTATCTCTACACATGAGTGTCAATTTGATAGATTTTAGTTGTCTGGTAGAACTGTGTTAACATGTTAGCTTGTCAGTCAAACTCAAAGATAGATTTTTTGTGAATTCATCTAAAAGTCTAGTTGTACAGTAATTCAATATTGTCTGTCTAGTAATATATAGTATACTTCCTACATTCATTTTTCACCTCTTAAACAAGAAATTTGTCATTCCATAAAAATTTTCTCCCATAGAATAACTGCTCTGGTAACAGTACATAAAGGAAAATACACGTCACTAAAAGCAAACTAGCAAGAGATGATTACATCCATGCATATTTCCATCATAAAGGTTCCTTTGTTTTCGTTTCCGATGTATATCGACAAGATTGTCACAAAATACCAGAGGCACCAGAAGTAGCTGGCCGCCTGTCTTAGAAACTAATTATGAAGACAAAGCTTGTTTGGACTCTTGGCCTGGAATACTTCCAAGTGATTATAAGATCAGAACCTACAAGTCAAACGTCTCTAGTTCTTGGGCCACACCAATTTAATTTCTTGGTTAACAGATTCGCACGCTTCGTTTTTTTCTGATTTGAAAATAAAAATTCAGAATCAACTGCAAAATGCTCAAATTTTGCCCCGAACAGTTGAAAACAGTCCTTTTCATCCTAGTTGTTATTCCATCTTTCAATGCAGTGGTATCGTGAACAGTTCCAAATTCATTGTTTAAATTTTGAACCAGTCTGGTGTGTTGACTTCATGGCTCCTATCGTACCATTTTTGGGGCCCATAATACTAATAGGGTCACGGTGCCTAGGCCTGTTTTTATTTTTATTTTTTTTCCGCCCGCCTGCTCCATTATTTTTCTAGAAAAATCCGTTAACCAAGAAATTAAATTGGTGTGGCCTTAGTCTGTCCCGTTGGAAGTGCAGGGATCGAAATTCATTTTTTTTATTAGGTGCACTGGTGCACCTAACCAAAAAAATTAGGTGCACCAAAAAAATTTTGGGTGCACCACATATTTCCAGTAGTACATTGATAAGTTAAATATTATTAATATCAAATTAATATTCCACACGTAAAGAATGCTAAAAATGATCGTAGCAAGAGTGGAAATTGTATCGCTATGGAAATAACACATTAATGATCTTAACGAAAAAGGGCAAATTAGGATTCCGAGATCGAAAAAAAAAATATATAAAAAAAAATCTAGAAATGAAAACAAAAATCACACAAAGCCTCAATCTTTTTGCACTAGACTTCTCGGTTGATTCGGTTTCGGAATCCGACTCTGATGACCCGGAACTGGACAGTCGGAAGGAGCTCGGGAGGCCGTGGAGGAGGGCCCGGGAATGTTGTCGAGAGCACATGGCCGCCCCCCTCCCCCTCTGTCTCGGCGCTCCCACGGCACGGTCTGTCCACTTCTCGCTCGTCCGGGCGTGTTTCCCGTTGGTTTCCAGCTTCATCGCTTCCTTCGGGGTTTTGAAGAGCTTGGGCTGATGTTGCCACATCTCTTTCGTCGTCATCACGATCGGACCTCGGCTGAAGGAACCGTAGAAGCGAAGTCTGTCTCGACATATTTGTTTTGCTTTGTCATCCACGAATTTCATGGCCGAATTTTGTCGACACCCGGGTTTTGACGATGTGACCTCGAAGATTATCGAAGTCAAGCGAAAACTGCACGAAAACAACATTTTGTCACATGACAAGCGTCGGAAAGTTTCGGAAGCGAGTTCGCGATGTTTTGGTCACATGACTATCAAGAAACCGGGGAACGAGAAGGAAGAGATCTCATGTCCAGTGTTGTAGTCGGATCCGGAAGTTGGTGGGTAACGCGATGTCGGCACTGCGCCGACACATTTTCGGGCTTTAAAAACTGAAGTAAATCTAATTCTATCTCAAGAATTTCAAACAAGCAGTGCATCAAAGGTTTTTTATTATTTTATTCCATCAAAGCAATGTTGGAATTACAGTGTTTTGTACCTTTACCGTACTAATACTACAAAAATATTTAGGTGCACCGGTGCACCCACAGTCAAAAATTGGGTGCACCGATCCAGATTTGGGTGCACTAAGGTGCACATGCACCCATTATTTCGATCCCTGAAGTGTCAGCGCTAGCCTGAGGGGGTTCACACGCTGTGCAATGACGTCACGCTACGAGGACAAAGCATAATCACAGGTGGGAACTCATCGACTCCAACAGACAATACCAGTCCTCAAAGACAGCCTTTGATCTGTAAGACTCCCTTTATGCGGGAGCACGAAGTATAAGAGTCTCTTAAAACCAAGTCACCTGGAAAGTCAACAAGGCTTTCTCAAATCATCATGCGGTTTCTTTGAAATAGTTTCTGATCGTCTTCAAGAAGTTTGTGAAAATGTTGGGGTGAAATGTCAGCTCACGTTACCCTGCACTAAAAGCTTTACATACCTGCACAAAAGCTTTGGATACCTGCACCTGAATAAAGACTCCAGAACTAACTTCATGCTGCTTGATCCTATTGTGAAGACTTTGAAAAAAAATCAAAGGCCTTTGGACTTGAGCATGTAATCATTGCCAATTATATCCACCATCAGCAGTAAAGACATATATCTCATAACATAGAAAGCTGCACTATTGGCAGGATGGTCCTGTCAATAACAGAGAAAGTTGCACTATTGACAGGATGATCCTGTCAATAACAGAATGATTCTGTCAATAACAGAAATTAGTTGCACTATTGACAGGAACAGAGAATAACTGTCAATAACTGAATGTTGCACTATTGTCAGTACTGACAGGAACAGAGAAAGTTGTAGTATCGACAGGACCGTCCGGTCAATAGTACAACTTTCTCTGTTATTGACAGGATCATCCATTTTTTCCAGTATTGACAGGAAATGAAACAGAATGATCATGCTGTGGATATAGCTTCAGGCATTTCAAAATCAACTTCAACACAGAGCAGTGGAAAAATCCTCCCACCACCATCATCTATGTCCAACCCACCTACAGTACTGGTGTCATCCAGCATGACCTCCACGGTTCTTTCCCTGTACTCGACCTTGAACTCTAACATCCGGGGTGTCGGGCGCATCATGGGGCCCGCCATGACTGGTTCCCATGGCGACCCTAACGTGGACGTCCCCGCCATGGCCTGTAGCTGCTGCCCGACTACCGATAGATCAGGACTGGAAATACAGACAAGAGCATCTCAATAGTTAGAGCTTGTTCCAGGCCATTGACAAACTTGAGTCTACAGTAACATAACAATGTTCAATTTCTGCAAAAACTGTTCAAAAACAAAAAATTGTCATTATTTCCTTTACAGTTTATAAATTATACGTGGTAAAAGTCAGTGCAGCTATTAAAAATCCACATATACCTACGAGTATACATATATGTACAATGTATACATATATTTATTTATTTATTTATTTTGGCTTACAAAGAAGCCAGGGTGTCCCAACTAGTCAGAGACTATTATTAAGGGACACCCTGGGGAGTAAGAAGGGAGTAATGTATACATATATAAACCCAGTAAAATTGGACCAGTACAGGTTAGGTGCAGGTAGACATCAGAAATACCTGCACAGCTCCAATTTTACCTGTACTAACCTACATACATGTATATACCCAGTACATGGACCAGTACAGGTTAGGTGCAGGTAGACATCAGAAATACCTGCACAGCTCCAATTTTACCTGCACTAACCTGCATATACCCAGTACATGGACCAGTGCAGGTTAGGTGCAGGTAGACATCAGAAATACCTGCACAGCTCCAATTTTACCTGCACTAACCTGCATGTACCCAGTACATGGACCAGTACAGGTTAGGTGCAGGTAGACATCAGAAATACCTGCACAGCTCCAAGTTTACCTGCATATACAGGTGGTATTTGTTAGATGTATCTCACCTATCTACTAGTGGAGGGGGGACCTCTGGGACACTGGGTGCCTGCTGCATGGGCTCTTCTGGGAGGACTCCATTAATAGCAGCCTGGTGGAGAGACACAGGAAAAACACAATATTTCAGAATCCAAATGTCACAGTACAACTTCCTGATGATTTAGCACAGTGGAAATCCTTAGTTTGTATCTCACAATTTACGATTATTGTACTTTTGTAGCCTGTATTATGTCATACCTGGGCTGGGATTAAGTTCGATACGGGTGTTCCGGCCCGTGTGATAACAGGATAGGGACAACAAATTTTCGCTCATTTTGCATTGAAAGTGTTGTCTTGCTTGGGGGGTATGACAAATAAAATACAACACGGGGTATTCCGCATCACTCTCGGTCCCAGCCCTCCTGTAGATAGGATCGCCCTCCGGCCTTCTGGCGATCAGACGCGCGGTCAGGCTGGTACCTCGGGCGATACGGAATATACCATGTTGTATTCTATATTTACTCCCACTGTCAGGGGGCTGATTAGACCCATACTACTACTAGTAGGTGGTAGGTGATTGGTCCACTGGGTGGGAGCTGAAAGATTGACAGTGTAAGCTATGCATGATGTACAAAAATGACTAATAAACTGGTGTACGTTCCAACGACTAAGTACCTAATATCAGCTCAGAAAGAATAAGTCATGCATTCAAGTACCAGAGTTATCAACCAAGGATTGAGGTGTTCAAAACTATCGCAGAGTGGAACTCGCTGTCACCAAGCACAGTCAGGGAATTATCATTAGATAGCTTTATGTCTACAGTTAGATGTTCAAGGGTTAGGTGTAACAAGTCATTCGGTGTAATGTAGCTAGCTGCCGCCGCGCCCCATGCCTACAAAGCTGGTGTGTTACGCCGAAGGGTGCTTATATCGGCTATACAAATACAGATACAGAGGTCAAGTACCAAATGTACATATTGTACAATGGAGCAGCAAAAAAGATAACAAATCTGCATATCTTCCTCAAAATAAATTAACTACAATATCTTTACTTTCATGATAATATCTTTACTATTTTGTCTTTAATTCTGCTTGTTTTACTTGTACCTTTCATTTGGCCAACATCAAGAAAGTGTTGAAAGTACAATGTAGCATTTTTTCTCGGTGTGCGTGGGTGGTGTACTGCCGCGTAGACAATAATAGCTGCTGGCGTGATCTAAACTTCCGCTCTTTATCGAAAGGATTTAACATGGGGTGACAAAAGACTCCGTTCCGCTTTAGGCGTATTCTTCCGACCGTGCCTGACTACATCCGCTCACACCAACGCAAACGACACGCTTTTCCTGACAGTTTTGCGGTACGCTAGCAGAAGTTTTCGCCAAATCACCGGATTTCACGGCAAAGTGCGGTATCTCAAATGTATCAACAGGAATTCCCATAAGCGGTAACTTATCGCCATCAAACACGTTCCTGATAGCGTATTCCGACGGGAATTTCGCATCGAGCAAACAGATGCTATGGAGGATGATGTAACGGCGTTGATTTCCACTGGCACGGCGCCATATTCCGCACGGAATAAAACTCCTACACGACCCTGCCCCAACCGTGGGAACATCCTCTTAACAATACCACAATATCCTGTTCATCCTGCTGCGAACGAATTATTGCAATCTGACTGAGTATAAAATTTACAGGCAAGGATTTTGCTATCTTCAAAAAACGATCGTAACAAAAGAAAAAATAGGGAAGAAAAGCTTTTGACAGGTTCAAATAGTTGTGCACTACAAAAATGTGCCCCTCCCTTGCCTACTTCCTCCCCACGACTAAGAGTACCGAAAACAAGACGGCGAGTTTCCAAATATGGCTTGCGGCGGAGACCAACGGGCGCGACAACCATATCGAATTCGACAAAACGGAACTAGCCTCCTGATGAAAACTTCTGCAAACAAAACAAGCCTAGGCCTGAGTGTTCTACTGCATATGACCTGATTTGAATTAAGAACTGTTAAACAGCATACATGTACTTTGAAGTCACGTCATCCACACCGTTACCTCATATAAACGATGAACTTTTTGTAATACAGAATTAAAAGTAGCCAAGTCTTAACTACCGTAAGAAATCATTCATACTCACCACAAGGTTCCAGTCATTCTGTTCCAGTAATGTGATGGCTTCATCTATGTTCTCTATCCCTGTACAAGCCTGCAATCAAAGCAGTGGATTGTAAGTACAGGACAGTCAGTTAGATTCTATAATAAACGTATAGCATGCCTGCTATATTCAAGTATGGTATTATATGACAAATGCAAGGAAATCTCAGAGTTGCTCAAAAGTTACTGAGGCCTAGGAAAAAAATGTTGTATTTCCTGTTTCCCGACTGACCCTAGAAAAACCTGCCCACCCTAGACTTTTTGGGGGGTGGATCCCTGCAAGGGACATAAGTGAACTTTAATTTTTCGAGCTGATCAACCTTTTCTAGCGCCTGAGTGATAAAACGTTGTACAATTGGTTTTCTAACATTAACATTGAAAATAAAAGTGTCCTCATATGGCCTATATGCAAATGTTAAACTGTGTCATATATGTTGGACCCCTACATAGATATCACTGAGGTCTGAAAAAAAAAAAGATAATACCTACCTACCTACCGACCCTAATTTTTTCACAACATTTTTTTTTTCTTAGGCCTGAATCAGATTTTTTCAGAAAGTACCAATACTGTAAATTGGTTTAAGCTCAGAGACTTAATTTTCTGTATCTGTATCTACATATTTTTCAGGAGGGGAAAGAAAGATAGAACACCTATTTGATGTGTGATGAGTTTGAAGTAAAACCACTGCAAATATTACATTACTTTGTGTCACATATGTATTATCATCTGTACTTCCTACATATTAGTTTCTTTTAGCTAACTTATTATGTGTAAGTGGTAGCGTTGAAATAAGTCTTAGATACTTGAGTGCGCTACCACTTTGTGTTGTACTATGTTATACTGTGTGAACAATAAAAAAAATTCATCATTCATGGTAAGATACCATTCAATGACATTGTTCATTTGTCAATATCACAGTAGGGACTGTGCTTTTCCTTTTCAGGAAATCACTGACTACGCAAAGTATGATCCTTAATCTAGGCCACACCAATTTAATTTGTTGGTTCTCGGATTCGCCTCTTAATTTTTTTCTGATTTGCAAAAAAAAAAAAATTCAGAATCAACTGCAAAATGCTCATATTTTGCCCTGAACAGTTGAAAACGGTCCTTTTATTCTTAGTTGTTACAGTTATTCCATCTTTCAATGCAATCTTTCTATCATTAAAAGTTCAAAATTCATTGTTTAAATTTTGAACCATCCTGGTGTGTTGACTTCATACCTCCTATCATAGCATTTAGGGCTATAATAGGATGCCTAGATCTGTTTTTATTTTTATTTTTTTTCGCCCTGTCGCTTCATATTTTTACTGAAAAAATCCGAGAACCAACAAATTAAATTGGTGTGGCCCTACCACTGAACCAAAACAGGCTATTCATGTACAGTAATAGCACTACTACCGGTACAACACAATTTAAGGATTTAATCATGTAAGACTTTCTCTTCAACTGTAATGAATGTCAAAGACACATCGGAGACCACACAAAGAATGAAAGGGAGTGTTGTCATGCCTCCGGTATGCCAATGGCGGGAAAATGAGCATAATCACTGGCTTAGTTTGTACAAAACTAGCGTCATACGCAATGATACTTCATACGCAGCTTCTGTAAAAGCTGTAATTGAGGATAATCACTTGTCTCTGACAATCCTCATCCAAATCCTAATCCAAAAAGGACATTTGTTAAGCTGTCGCAGTAATACGACCAATCAGATACCGTATATACATTCCAAGGTGCTCATCCCTTAAATGGCCAACAATTCAAAGCAAAGCATCTTTTCAGACAGCTTAGCCTGAACAAATACTTTTCACGTGACTCTGATTAGGATATAACAACATTGTCGATGCTTTGAAGCTATAGAAAACTACATTCATGCCATTATCACTAAGGGTAGTGAGCCTTCTTAAGTTAAAGATATGTAGCGATAACTTTACCATCTTCTTGAGAGATGTAGAAATTGTACAAATAAGGAATTTCCACATGATTGTACTACTGCCTGGGCCAGTTGTGTGAAAGTAGCACTTGAATTGAATTTCTCTTAATCCTGGGTAAGGCCACACCAATTTAATTTCTTGGTTAACGGACTCGCCCGCTTCGTTTTTTTCTGATTTGAAAATAAAAATAAAAATTCAGAATCAAGAGCAAAATGCTCATATTTTGCCCTGAACAGTTGAAAACAGTCCTTTTCATCCTAGTTGTTACAGTTATTCCATCTTTCAATGCAATGGTATCATTAAAAGTTCAAAATTCATTGTTTAAATTTTGAACCAGCCTGGTGTGTTGACTTCATGGCTCCTATCGTACCATTTTGGGCAATAATAGGATGCCTAGGCCTGTTTTTATTTTTTTATTTTTTTGCCCGCCCGCTCCATTATTTTTCTAGAAAAATCCGTTAACCAAGAAATTAAATTGGTGTGGCCTAAGGGATGTATAATGGACAAAGCCTACAAATACACATAGTTGGAATTGTGGAGTTGGAGGGAATGTGTGTCGTGTCCTGTGTGTATGTTGGATGTCAGGACATCGGAATGTCTCCCCTGTTGCTGTAACAGTGGCAGGAATCTTGGAGGTTATCAGGCTATGGGGAGTTGGACCTGTCGTGCTGTCATACCACCTAATGACTTGATCAACCCTACATCTGTATAACACTGTATATACCTATAGCACTTACATGTACAGTTTAGTTTGCAAGAAAAATCTGCTATATAATTTGTATAATGACAGACCTTTGTTTTTCTCCCAAACTGTCGATTTTTCATTACAGACACTATGACTATTCAATACACTTAAGGGCTGGTTAGGTAAGTCTGTATCTGACATGGTACACTTTTAGCAAGTCAATGGCCAACAGTACTAGTATTGGGGATATCCTACTGTAATTACAAATGTCTCTGGTACTTGTATGTCTTTTAGGTTTCAACAGTCAGATTGCCACTAAAAATACATCATCCACATGGAAGGGACTGACATAAATTTGAAGAAAGCATGATTTATTTCAGAGTTTCTTTATCCTTCCTTTCCAATGTATACATGTTTCATAGGAATTTCATTTTGTTGTGATTTTTACTCGTGGTCTGCTTTCCTTGGGTGATATGACTGAGTATGAGGTGAACTTTCTCTTTATGCTGATGTTTTTCGAAATACTATTAATGAATCCAAAACCAATGAAGTTTCAAGATGTGTATAAAACCTATTCTAACGTTTACCAACCCAATATTTCCCAAAATAATTCAAACGAAAAGTCGGTTTTGTCAGCTCTGAAAATATGTAGATGACTCTGCCATACATAGCGATTAATCATCGTTATGTAATCAGCTGTTTTTCCAACCCTCAAAATATTTTTTCTTAATAGCGGCATGAACTTAAAGACAAAGTCTCAAAGGTTATCCTGCTCATTAACTGATCTTTAGTGAATCTACTTCAGTATTTCTTCGGTGTATCTAGCTATCTATGATGGGAAACTTCAGAGTTAAAGTTGGACGGCCGATCGCACATGCAGATTTTTGTCTGGCACGGTGGATGAAAAAGGCGCGTTTGGGAACGCTTCGCAAAGGCTGCAAGGCTGTTTAGCACTTCTACTAACGTTTCCAGACGGCGCGAAGAAAACAAATGGCTACAGGATCGCTCAATCTACAGTCCGTACAAATTTTCTTTTTCGTCATGCATGCATGTTGTCTGCGGACTGCGACTGAATGACAAAGACATGGCCCCTAGCGCCTTCTTCTTCAACCGAGAGAAAACGCGTCATCGCCAGAAATCCTGAGGAAATAAGTTTACGTTATGAGCATTGGCAGATGTCTTATTTTGTTGGCAGCCGATTACGTGAAAACGGTACTGATATGATGCTGTTTTTGCTTCATATTTGACCAAAAAGTACCTGAAAATCGGCCAGAATCATCTCCCTGTCCGCCGCCATTGTTGTTTATGATGCAAGTGAACATACCATGGACTATATAGGGAAAATAAACAAAATAAGTAACTGTTTTCCTGAGTTAGTAGATCTAGCAGTAAAACAGAATACAATTAGAATAAATAACTCTACTAATACAACACATATTATTTCATTTAATGATAAATAATAGGGTGAAATATCTATATCATACTAAACACAAAATTACAGCACCCCTTTTCGGGGCATACCATTAAGGTTCAGCAATACGCATGTACAAAATACGTGCGAGATATACCGATTTTACGACAGTTCTATTTTACGACTGTCCCATGTTATCTGTCCCATTTTGCGGCCAGTATAGCGTCGTCTATTTTTAGAAGGTACGCGATGACGTTATCTGTTGCTGTTCACCTGCGCCGTGGGCACGCTTGCTTATAGATGGAGCTTTTTCTGCCCTAATGGTCATTTGATCGCTCTGGATGGCTTTATGATCCGCACCCAAAAAGCTGTACGGATAAGACAAGCTGCGATATTACCGGGGCAACTCTCTTTTGACAGCACGGCTGAAATTTCGTACGGGAAGGCGGGAACGGGATACATCCGAGACCGCCCCACGCGGACTGGGGTCTCGGCCAATCCGGCACCCGACAGCGGGACGTGCCCGGGACTGCCCGCTCCATTTGAATACCATGGACGAAGGAGGCGACACGTATTTAAAGGGACACGCAGGTGACTTCAGGTGTCGACGTCCAGCTTGGCTACGGGAAGGTCGCGCTGCCACCAAACGTCGCTTTCTCCGGGAAAGACTTTCGGGGCTGCCGAGGGAAGACTGGTGTCAGCTAGGCCCGACCGCAGACGATATCCAGGCGGAGATAAGTGCCTTCTCTCTTCTAGACATTTAAGCGACATTTACGTGCACACGGGACAGTCGTCCAGCCGCCAGAGGACATTAGAGTAGTTCAGTTCATGTAGCGTACATTAAGCAATTACAAGAGAAGCCGACAGGACTGACTAGAAATACGATCAGCAGCAAGGCGCAGCCCTACTACAGATGTCGGAACACGTCTGAGTACGTTACAATCACCGCGGGTGGAGACATTTCAACTTTGTCAACACCTTTCTATCTCTGACAACGTTACGCTACTCTCAACTTTATAGTACCCTGGGAATCGAACTCGTAACCTTCAGCAAAACATAAAAATATCAGAAGAGCCCTTCAGCGACCGCAAAACAAGGGTTGTCAAATTATGGCGCCAACCCGAGTAGAACCTGTCTGATGACATATTGCGGTGACCCCTATCAGGCACAGTCAAGAACATCCATACGGTTATCAAGAGACGTCGTGCTGTTTTTCTTACAATTTCATTTTGGATCGAGCTGATATTCTCAGTTCGTGCAGAAGCGAAGCTGCGAAGGTGAGCGGAGACGAAAGTTCGAGGTACAGGTCAAGCTGGGGGCAATTATATGTTGCATTGACTGTGTCCGATCCCCCACTGCGACCCTCGGTGTACAGGTGGACACCAGCCACCGGCCTCACAGTTCTCAAACCTGACGACAAGCCGCCGGCCAGTTTTCGTCAGGACCGAAATATTGCCCCGTTGTCAAGGAAACGAGGCGTTATCGTGCGATAACGTCTTCAAGACTCCGAACTGATAGGACAACACGGCAAGACGTCTCAGAACTTTCACTCAGAAGGTAAACAAGAGGATATTTTCGTGTACGTCTCCAACCAGAGTGGAGAAGTCAGATATGAATGGGGGACGTCAATAGACTTTCAAGTCTGCACGTTGTTGGATGACGTAATGTTTTTATGGGCATGACAAACATTTTAAGAAGTAAGTCGGCGTAACAGACAAGACGGGACGCTCACAAATCGTCTCGTAGTAAAGCGTACTGTTTAGAAGGTGACGCGACGAAAAAGGAACGACTCGAGTGGAGTTCGTCCAATCGCGGGGAGGGGGAAGTAGCGGAAGTCCACACGTGACTGTATTTTTGTGAGAAGCATTGTCACTTGTACGACAGGCAAGACGCCGGGTGTAGGCGACAGGCGAGCGGACCCCGGCGCCGGGACAGGTACGGGGTCTCCTCGACGGGGGATGGCTCACAACGGGGCCGCCGGGGAAGCTGGGACCAGTTCTCCCGAAGGAGCAGCCGGCGGGCAGGCGGTGCAAGAGCAGGCGGTCGGCTTCCATGCCATCAACGACGGCAACGACCTGACAACGGCCGCGGCAGCGGGCGACCTGGTCGAGGTACAGCGACTCCTGGAAGTAGGGGTCGACGTTAACGCTCAAAACCAGCAGGGCAGGACTGCCATACAGGTATGTCTTAGTTTTTTTCCCTTTGATAACTTTTTTTTTCTTTTCTCCGCTAAATGCTGAGGCTGGACGTATATGCTAGTTACGCGGATCGTGGCGTGATTTAGAGCAGACGCGTCCCGAGAACTTGGCAGGGGTTGGGACGCCACACCACAGAACGCGACGCGCGTGGCCGGCAGCAGGAATCATAACTCACCGCCTTTGGTTTACACTTCAACCCGCGTCGAACTAACGCAGCCCACAAGGCCAGTGGCCTGTCTGTTAAACAACACGTCTCCCTAAACGCCTGTTGTTCACCGCCGCGAAATATCACAGCGTAAATATTCCCAATCCTTACTCACTCAGGCTGCCAGTTACTACAACTGACACTGCCATATGTAAGAACGACGACTACACGCATAACATAGACTAGCGAATGAATGAATGGATAGATGTACTGTACTGAACAACGGTAGGGACGTTGGTCTATAAATTCGCCAACAATTTTGATTTTCGGATGTATTTTTCTCAAGGAAAATGATAATTACGTTGATGTAAACAAATAGATTCGGAAGAGTAAATAATTTTCCTGTCGCACGGTCCGTCTTGCTGCTCCCTGCGTTTTCGTCAGTGCTTGTGTCCTGTCACAGGGACAGCGTGTCCCTAGACTGTTGTTCCCATTCTTCAACAGTCTTTTTGCTGTCTTTTGACAGTCCGTTCATTCATCACAACTGTTATGCACTGACTATTCAAGCTGAAATCACGAGTCAAACTCGCGCGCCATACAACATCAGACGACACAAAAAACGCTATAATAGGATGTGTATATATGAGGAAACGTGTGTTACGAGTACTATACACTTTGTGTAGACAATGTTCTTGGGGTGTTTGCGTCTGTTTTCAATCAATAATAGTAGTTCGCGAGTTGTTGCCTGGAAAAACGTCGTCTGTTTTGACCAAAAAAATGGCGGCAGTGACTTGGAGTGGCTACTTCAGTACTTGTCGCCTCTGTAGTCCCGAGTTCAATCCGTATAGTGCCGTTTAGTCAGCCACTTGTGGTCTATTCGTACTGTCACAAGTCTTCAAGACCTGACTCTTAAAAATGGCACGTCGGTCTGCTTAAACGCGTTTTGTTACATGCAAAACAGAATGTTGTCATCTAAGCAACCGGTTGATTTGTATTTATATTTGTGAACCGCATGTGTTCCAATTGAAACTCGCAATGTTCCCGCCCATTGTAATTGCTAATTCACGTTTACTGTTGTATACTAAAGAGCCGTACATCCGTTTGTGGTATTTATAGAAATTCTGTAAGCGTTTTTTTCTTGACTTCTTGAGTTTGGCGTACCTAGAGAACACACTGTCCCATTTTTTTTTCTGTGGAAACAATTTCGCCTCAGTTGGCTCCCGCCCAGCGTCCCTGCCGCTGGCACCGCGCCAAGTAATGATTCAGCCCGGCTCGGACGATGGTAGCGTCCCCTCAGTACCGCCATGGACGCACGGCAATGTAAATAACGCCCCACCGCCTATCTCTGGATCCTATTGATACATCCGTCCGCAATATCGACTTTTCTGACGTAAAATACCCCCACGCTATTTCCCTGCTTTCATAATCCGTATCATACACGCGCTGTGCCCTCCACTACAATTAAGGTTAGGGCGGTTACTACAGAAGTGACCCCCGTATATTTACGTGGTTTGTGTTCGTTATTGTTATTCGTGTCAACAAACCACACAGACACGTGATACGGCCGATTATTTAATCCATATCGACGGTCGTGATGAAGGACTACACCCTGTCAACAACAACAACAACCATGCACGGACCTGGTATATAAATGTGGACCAGTATGCACGTGTTTGTCAATACTAAAAAACTAGTCTATGAAACGCATTTCGATAAGAAGTGGATTTTAGAAACCACCAGCTTCCCTCCTATAAAGCTAGCTCTTTATTCGCTGGTGCTTTCAACTCAAGGTCACCCCTACCAAAAGATTTGTCTTCCAGTGATCAGGGATTTGCACGGAAACAGTCGTTTTATTCTGTAAATTTGCTGTTAGTTTTACTAAACAGTTGACTATTGCCTATTTTACCCCATACTTATATGTCATAAACAGTGTTAAAGTATTGCTATGTACAGGATACTAGGAACGTTTCAAGCCCCGTGGATGGTTGCCGTGTTCCTTGCCTCAGAGGAGGGTAGCTACTCCTGCCATTGTACTCGAACAAATGGCAAATACAACGCAGGGGACCTACGGCTCTATCTGCACTATTTACCAACTTAAACAACTGCTTAAAGACTGAATATAGCGCCCTCGTAATCATTAACGCGAATCTAGATGATTGACAGGTGAGAATGATGTAGTCTGACAACCGGTAGCTCGGCGTTAGTGTATGGTGTGATTACAGCGTGTTTGTGTCGTCTGTTGTACTTTGGTTGTACCCCGTAAGTTTGACTGAACGACACCGTGGTGTTGTTATACGAATGCTGATGTACAACCAGAGGCAGGTAGAGAACAAACACTCGACTGACGTTTGGAGTGGGTCGACCTGTCGATATAACACCTCCTCCAATTGGTGTACAACATCTGCTGACACCTGAACTCTGTTAGACCCACCACCAACCAAAACTTACGTGACATACGGCCACCCATATAAGCCCTCCGTGACATATAACCTCTCTTTTGCAACAGATCCTGTCACATTTGAAAAAAGTTCATATTTTTCATCTCATTTCCTTTCCCAAGAGTTTTCAAGGGGGGGAAATGATTCCAGTTCTTGAAAATTTTTTTGCAACAGATCCTGTCACATTTGATCTCATAATTTTCATTCCCTCTGTTAGAAGTTACTTTTTGTTAATTTCAAAAGAGTTTTCTCTGAAGAAAAACAACCAGATTCCAGTTCTTGAAACTCTCAGAGAACAGGTTTGATCACTGCACGTGCCACTCAATAAGTTCATGGAAAAAAGTGCATTTTTAGAGAATAATAATGACTTTGCTAATTCCATGTAAAAGGTAAACTCCGGCGATTGTGGTATAGTTTCAATTAGATACCAGTACAGTCAGTGACTACACACTCTGCCCTGGGGGGACACGTGGTGCATTAAAGACATCTCTGCAAGATAAATACCTATGTTCCCCTGAAAAACTGTGTAGATACATATATACAGATGCTGCCTAAAGCTGTATGTGAAAAAAAAGCATTTCTATAAATATTTTATCAATGGAGGGAAAATCCCATCATTGCCACATGAACTGGTGGATACTAAACTAAAAAAATAATTTTCAGGGGGCGTGGAGATATATAAATGCAAGGGATGAAAAAAAGGATTTGTATCCAACTGTATAAGTATCATTTTTAGCATGGCTGTTAGCATACTTGTGAAGCTTGAAAGCAATGCCACAGAATAGAAAACTATGGTAAAACTCCCCATGGTATTAATGTCTTTCTCCAAACTCACGAACTACTAAATTTTCGTGTTTGTCTTTCAAATACCATATATTTTGGTTATCTGGCATTTTCATTTTTCTAGTTCTGTAGGTAAATAGCACATACATATCTAATATACAACCAATGCTAATTTAACCATGTAACTACCAAAATGGGATTTTTAAAAGTAGCAGGTAGGGTTAGGTATACTGTATATTCAATCAATCAATCAATCAATCAACCAATCAATCAAAAATGGTTTATTAATAAAAGACATTGCAGCCAGACAGGCTGAATTGCGCCTTCTGTACATACATATTGTGCAGGACACATTAAAAATATTTACAACATAGTTTTAAAATGATACATAGTTTTAAAATAATACATTTTAAAATCATACATTAGTGTCAATTACTTCTAATATCAGTTAGCGTTCAAACAATATTCTCGTCCCCAGTATCTTTCTGACCACTCCAGCTCGGTCCCGGCCTTTCCCACCATCGGACCGGAAGTCGCACCGACCCCGCCTTCCCCTCTCCTTCCGCGAAGCATGCCGGATGTTCCGTTTTGTAACAAACAGGTGTTCCGAGAAAAACGATCTTCTCTGGAGAAAAGAAGAGTTTTCTTTTGTTAGGAACAGTTTACTCGTTTCCAGTACAGTGGGTTTCCTTTTCAAGACCAAAAATTCCAGAATGTACTACTACTACTAGTACTACACATATGGCAAATAATGCAGCGTTCAAAATTTCCTAGTACAACTGCCATGCTAGCCTCTTCCAGGCACCGCGGATCGCTGGAAAAATAGTAACGGGTCGCGAATTGGATCTTCTCTGGCCGGCTACCTCCCCTGGCATATTCCTCTCCAGAATAGACAAACATGATCTGCTCCCACATTTTCCACTATACAAAAAAGCAAGAAGAAGTTGACCTCTCTATATTAGCTCAGTGACTAGAACACTTTGTACTAGTTAGCCTAGTATAGTACCCTTGTATGTACCCTTATGTATGTATGTCTAAGTCAAGTAGTGCATCTTTTGTCTCCAATTTTCTATATACGTTTGTTATGTGTCTGTTATATCTTGACCTGTACCTAGCCCGTCGTGGCATGAATGTACAATAAAGGAAATTCATTTCATTTCATTATTCCTTTATTTCGAATTCGGCCAATTTCTACTGTTTTTCCAGCGATCCGCGGTGCCTGGTAGAGGCTACTGTCATGCTAGTACACATCGTTCTGTATTACCCAAAACAATACTTTACCGTGTACCGTTTAGTTCCTTAATAGGACGGTATCTTTCTGACCTGTTTATGTAGTTTTCCCATGTGTATTGTTTGTCCTTAAAAAGTCGATAAGTTCCATATGCGGTAAAGTGACGATATCTAACAAACGAACAATTGAAAAGGACATATAACATACCAAGGAGGAATCCTCTATATACTACCTACATTTCATTTTTGACCAGTATCTATAGTATAGAAATGTTGTCTACTTTGGGTAGACCTAAATGTACCCTTAGGTCAAGAGCACTAACATTTCTATAGTGTAGATACTGGTCAAAAATGGCTGTGAGTGACTAAACGTTGTCGTTTTGTGC